CTTCATGAAGCCGAGGAAGATTTGCACCAAGCCATGAGTGTTGAGTCGGCAGGAACACGGACCTTGGGAGCAAGGCTGCAGCGAGAGGAGGCAGAACTGGTGAAGGCTCAGGCAGAGAGGGTGGCAGGAGCAATGAGCCGCAAGGTGCAACGAGCTGAGGCACTGGTTTTGGAAAGAAGGCAAGGTTTGCAGGGTGCGATGGTGGAGAGGGAAAGGCTAACAAGGAAAGTTGCGCGGTTGAAAGCTAGTGTGGAGGAGTTAGAGGGGAGGTATGGTGAGAGTGAGTCAGCAGCTAAGGAGGCTGATAGGCTCATGAAGCTGCTCAAGCCGGTTGTGCTTGCCAAGCATGAAGAAGCACGTGCTGCCAAGCAGGCGTGGGGCAGATTCCTGACCCTCGGGAATGCCTAGGCGTTTATGGCCACTTGCACAGTTGTGTCTTCGTATCTTGTATTTTTTTGTTCAAAATGTATCAACATCCAGTTCTCACCAAGGAAATTGCATCCTCGATAAAGAGACTGGATTTACAGAGAACTAGTGTGGAGGTACTGAAGAGGTATGGTGAGAGTGAGTCAGTGGCTTAGGAGGCCGATAGGCTCATGAAGCTGCTAAAGCCGGCTGTGCTTGCTATTAAGCATGAAGAATACATGCTGCTAAGCAGGAGTGGGGCAGATTCCTGACACTCTCAGTATTGTTCTGCTAAGATCTTACTATGGTACGGTTGTAAATCTTCTCATGACTGGGCTACATAAATTGTAATACTAGACAGCAAAACAGATTTCAGGCCTGACTACAAGCACTAACTAATGGTACATTCCTGTGGGGACACTTGTGTCTCAATCCCCGTTTTCCCGAGTCGCGCCTGTAAATTTGCCAAATGTTGTGTCACAAACAACCAATGTATCGCGACCCTGCGCGACAGATGGGCACAGCCAGGTGGGTGGCATAATTTCAAATTTATTGTAATCCCAGCACGCATGGATAGAGCAGCACAAGCTCCTGAGTATGTCAACTACCATATATATTTCAAGCTTCAGAACAGCATCCTGTCAACAGTGAAAGCAGGACAGGCATATTCTAAACCCTTACTGTACTTTCAGGTATATAACATTAAACCACCAAATTCCACCCAGTAACCCAATCAAACCTTGGACCCACATACACCTCTGTTCCGCTCACCGAGTTTGGTCCAACTTCCACTCCCACACACAGGCACACATACGGAGGGTGTTTTTACTTACCCCTCCTTGGGCTCATATATCGACTCCATGGGTTTTCTGGTCTGGGGCATCGAAAGCACCTCTCCAGATACGATGGGAGGCATGGAGCGATCAATGGGGGTGAAGGTGACAGCTGGCTTTGCAGGAGCAGCAGGAGCGTCGCCACTTTTGGCGTCCTTGCTTTTTTTTTCGTCTGCTGCGATGCTGATAGCACAGCCCATGGTAAAAGACGGCGGTAGGCCGGTTGAGAGGAGGGGGAGATGGCGGGCAGCTGAACGGGCAGATGATTTTTTGCGTAGAGTGGCGTAATGGTTCAGACGGAGACGCGGGATAAGTCTGATGGTGCGGTATTCTGTGGTCGGGTGTGGTTTAGAGGAAAGCGGAGCTTGCTAGCAGTAGGTGGTGGTTGCTGGTAGAGGCCATCTGATCTGAGGGAGGGAGGAGGGATGGGGTTCAGAAAAATGGAAAATGGCAAATAGAGGGAGGGAGAGGAGAGGAAAGAGAAGGGAAAGAAAGGAAATGAGGAGAGCAGAGCTCGCTAGCAGTAGCTGGTGGTTGGCGGTAGAGGCCATCTGAGAAGGAAGAGATGGGGTTCGGAAAGATGGAGAATGGCAAATAGAGGGAGGGAGGGGAGAGGAAAGAGAAGGGCAAGAAGGAAGGAAACAGAAACAGGTCAATGAGAAGGATGCGACGAGAGAGAAACAGGAGAGACGCAATACAGGCGGTGGGTAAATGGGCAGTGGGGAAATGAGCGTGGGGAGGGGGGGAGGGAGAGGGCAATGGAGCGAGAAATGGGGGACGGAGAGCGGAAGAACGGAAGGAGGGGGAGGAGGGAGGGGGGAGGAGGAACGGGCGGCGGGGGACAGGAGGGAGCAAATATGGATAAAGCACACAAGAAAAGGCGAACAATAAAAAAACGACTGAACGAAATGAGTAATAGGAGGTTAGAGGACACAAATTTAACTGCCGTCCGCTTCAACCATGAGGAGGGGAGACTCAGACATATGGGGAGTGAGGTGAATGCAAGTGGAGGGAAGAAGCGAATAATAGAGGGATACAAGGGGGCTCAATTCCCCTAGGCGTGTCAAGGCCGTGGTTGGGGGGTTTATACCCTGGGGGGGGATCAATACCCGGGGTGGGATGTTAATACCCTGGGGGGGAACTCACTTGGGAGGCTAATACCTTGGGGGACTCAATACGCTGGGTGGGAGATTAACACCCTGGGGGGGGGGGGGGGGGGGGGGGGACTACCGGGGAAGGGAAGGGGGTCAATACCCTGGGAGGTTGGGGAGAAGGGGAAGAGGGGAGGGATGGAAAGAAAAGAGGGAGGATGGGAGGAGGGGCGACGAGAGAGGAAGGGAGAGGAAGGATGGAAGGAAGATGAGGGAAATAGTGGAGGAGGGGGGAGGGAGGTGAGAGCAGGGATGGAGCGGAATAAATGGGAGGACGGGAGAGGAGAGACGGAGGGGGGAGAAGGAATGAGGGACGAGGACTAGAGGAGAGGAGAGGGAAGGAGGGGAAATGATGGGAGGACGGGATAGGAGGGAAGAGGGAGAGAGGATGCGACACGGGCAAGCAGCAATGGATGGGCGAAGGGAGGAGAAACCGGGAGGACGGGAAAGAAAGAACGAACCGAGGTGGATGAGAAGAAGTGAGAGGAGCAAAAGAGACTGGTGGGACAGGACGGCGGGAGAGGAGAAATGTAGGGAGACCGAGGGGAAAAATCGGAAGGAGGAAAGGACGGGATGAATGGGACGGCGGGGCCAGAGAGGAACGTAAGAAGGCCGAGGGGAGAGATTGGAAGGAGGAAAGGAAGGGGTGAATGGGACGGCGAGAGAGGAGGTATGTAGGGAGATCGAGGAGATGGAAGGAGGAAAGGACGGGATGAATGGGACGGCGAGAGAGGAGGAACGGGAGGGAGACTGAGAAGGGAACCATGAAGGGGCTGGAGTACCAAGGGGGGAGATATGGTGCACACGCCACACCCGCCACACACACCACACACGCCACACACGCCGATTGGCGTTTTGAGTCCTCTTCATGCATAGAAGCAAGACGAGTTTTCCCCATGCAGACAAGCCAAACGAAATCTTCAACGGATAAAACCACGAGTAAGCTGCGAGGAGTCACGTGATAAAAGAAGTTTTCAAAAACTCTAATTTACCACGAAGCTGCGAGGAGTGTGTCAGGAAGGGGGTTTGAGCGAAGAAGAGGCATCAAGGGGACTTGAGGTCCGAATGGGACCGCAAATGTAGCCGGGCATTCGTGCGCGTCCTAGTCCGGAGCGGCAGTTGCATTACCGGGCGACAGTAGACGTATACCGTGCGAAAGAAGGATTGGTTGGACCACGCGACAGCAGAATCGCACTCGCGATTGCAATGCAGCTAGACGTCTCGCTAAGCCGACCGCGTAGTACAATCACTATCCGTTATAGAGAGCGAGAAATATCAATAAGTCTACCTCGCAACACATAAACACTTTGTTTTGCAACCAGACGCGTGGTTAGAGCGAAGCTCCCAATACAGTAAAAACTTATGCAGCCACGCACCTGGTTAGGTCAGCCAGTAGTAACTACTATAGGATGCTCGTACAAAGGAGAGTGAGAGCTATAGAGACATGGAGAAAGAGGAGTAAAAACGCGTGTATTTGTTTGTGTTCCTTTATCATCGTACCCTAATTCTTCGTAATCATAGTTCGTAGCTCGAAAAAAAAAAACGGAATCAGAGGCGCGCGGGTACCTGTGAAGTGTCTAGGGTCAATGTCTCACACCCCCGATGTCCATGCCGCTGGGCGAAGATTACGAAGAAACGGAAGTGGTAACTGCGTAGCCGAACTCAAGAAGTAGCGACGGTGATGGCGACACTCTTCAGAAATTGATGCCAAATGTGTATGAAGGTTGGTCTAACAAAAGCTGATGCTCGAGAATGCTACTAAAGAACTGAAGTCCCTCTAGCATTAGTGTCGAACGGCAAGTATAAATAGGTTAAGACCGCACTATTGGAGAAGGGTATGTGAAACCGAAAGCGCGAAGAGGAGAGCTTGATAACACAAGACGCGTAAACCAGAACTGAGTCAAACATTTGAATTAGGGTTCCGCCAATCTTACCCAAAGTCAGTTAGGTGGACACATGCATGCCCCCGTAACGAGAGGTACCGTTCTGGAAAAATTATTTACCGTACTCACTACTCTGCGTGTTTTACTTTCATGAAGTGGCAGTGATGGCTAGAAGCTGATGACAATGACAATGCAGCCATGGCCATGGCGGCGAGCCTGACATTGAGACTCTCGGACGACGCGCGGCTTTAAGCTCTACACAGTGGTGTCTTTTTAGTGTTCATTACGGGAACCTAAACACCACTTATGCGAGTTCCAGGCTGTCGACAGTGTTTCATGCATCTTCAAGGTTATCTAATGCACATGGCTACTATCAAGGTCCCAAGCTCCCAAGAGACTACCATCGAGTTTTGCGCTCGGCAACGTCAACAACTCGCGCTACTTTCAAGGACGACACTTCCTATGTTTCAGCACAACCCAATGCTCCTAACCAACTTGGCTGTCTGGTTTTCCCTAAGGTTATGGCTCCCCTCCCTGGCCTGGACCTGCAGCGTTTCAGTTTCAAACATAAGAAGTATAAACATTCGGATTCATTATCAGCTGTGCTCAGTCCGGCTTGTATCTCAGCCTTCAACGGGCGGACAAGCTCTTCTCATCATCGCACCATGGGGAGAGCTCGCAGCAACAAGACTAGCAAGAAGTCAACAGTCACTGACAAGGCTGCCGATATGTCATCCACCGCTACGGTACCTGAGAAGGATGCTGCTGTCAAAGGTCATGCGCCTTCCACCTCCTCGTCGCCAGTGGTGCTTGGCCCTTTCGAAGACTTATTGGACCTACAGATCAAGACCGACCTCAATGGCAAACAAGTCGGCGTTGCTGCTGATGGTGCTGCTGACCCCGCTGGCAAGGAGGGTGAAAAAGAGGCCGCTGAAGGAGAGGCTGAAGATGATGCGGACGCGCAGGAGAACAATGATGCCTCGTCGGATCAGGCTCCAGACGATGATGAAGATGGTTACCTGAGCGACGACTCCGACGAACACCTGGAACCAGCTTCGCTCGGCAGCATTATCGCCTTGAAAAGATTCTCACTGACCTTGCTGGTGCCGTTTAACAGGAAACCTGAAGTCAAGCGGACTGCTGTAACTGTGGCTGCCTCGCTGGAAGAATGGAAGGACCAGCTGTCGCCAGATGCGCTGCAGACAACAACTTACCAGGAACTTACGGCGACCTATTTCTCTGGCGCACGCTATGGTCGCCTTCAAGTTACCTTCAACCACGTCCGTGACGCAAACTTTGTTTGGAGCCAAGTCATCAGGCACGAGTGCGCGAATGGCGACATTGTCGACTTTACCTGGCAGCACCCCGAAGATGCGCGTTTCCTCCGCGAGCGCCTGCTGAATCCGACGGCGAAGGAGGTTGTTGTCAAAGGAGTTCCCGCGGACATGACTGCTGAGCTGATTCGTCACCTGCTTGTGGTGTCGAAGCTGGTTAAACGCGGTCGGAGTGCTTTCGCCAGCGGATTCGGTTTTCATCGTACCGTCGATCCGGTCACTGGGCTGGACACCGACCGTATCCGCGGCCTGTTTATCCCCCACGCTGATGATGAATACCGCTGGAGATACTTTGTGGAGGACCCGTCGACTGGCAGGCGCTACATGCTGCACTACCCATCGCTTACCTGCGAGCTCTGCAGCGGCCAGCACCTGTCCCGTTACCACGATCACTATGTCACCTCGAGGCAGGAGAATTTCACCAACTGGAACCTGTCGGTCAAAAAGGTTCATGACATGAACGGTATAAGCAGGACGACTCCCCACCCTCACCTCTCATTTCCGCTGCCTTCGTTTTCCACCCCGCTCAGAACATGCCTCCCGAATCGTACTGACGACTGTCTCCTCACCTCCTCTCGCAGCGGCTTCCCTGAAAGCCACAGCGTCTCTGACACGCATTCTGAAAGACCCCGCAGTCATACTCACCTCTACAGGAGGTGTGCGGGAGGAGTGGGTGTGCGTACAGACTGTATGCGAGAAGGCTCAAGGGAATCGCTTCGAGCAGGCGGCGACTCATGTCGCTTCTGCCAGGCACAAGGGAGGACTGAAGAAGGAAGGTGCTACAACACGCGCCAGCAAGAACTCTCAGAAAATGGCTGCTTTCAAAAAAGAGTTCATGATCACGCCGGCAAAGAAGTGAGCAGCGGCTTAGTGGATGAGATGACTCTGTGGCTGTTTGGCGCAAGTTGCGTAGTAGGTGTCATGTTCTCCTTTGCTGTAGCTGGATGCATCGTCGCAATAAAGATCAACCGCCCGTGGATGCTGTGGGGCTCAAGGACAGTGGTTAATGGATAAATGCAACAGCTTAACTCTCCTCGAGCTCAACATCAACGGGCTCGGTAGCTGTGGGAAACAAGAGAGATGCGGAAAGTGGATCAGGAAAGCAGCGCATGTAGTCGTACTCACCGACACACGAGTTTCACAAGATCATAACTTCTGGACGCAAGTCAGGTCGGAAGCACAAGCGGTGGTTGGCCCGTCGCAGAGAGCCGGGGGGGTGGCGGTCTTGGGTTTCCTGCCAGGCATGCGGTTCACGGACGTGGTTAAGCATGAGTCCGGCCGTATCATAAGTTTGATGATCGCATGGCGCGATCTGACATGCAGAGTGGTGGCTGTATATTTACCTGCACAAGCACCCGCTAGGGGGGTTTTCTTTCGTGACGTACTAACACCCTTTGTGCAGAGCTTGGGTGTCTCTCCGTATACCATACTTCTTGGCGACCTTAACATCGTTGCGGATCCAGAGCTGGACAAATCCTCAAAACTGGGAACACCGGCGGAAAACCAGAGGCTCCTGCAGATTTGCTCGAGATGGGATCTGCATGATGCTTTCCGGAGTCTCCATCCGACCAGGAAGGAGTACACTTTCTTCTCGAGATCTGCAAAAGCAAGCACACGGATTGACAGGGTTTTAGTGTCACACTCTCTTCTCAGCTGTGTAGTGGAGGCGAAACACAGAATGGTCCCATACGGGTTAACAGATCACTGGTTTGCTGTGTCGGTGTCGCTCAAGGCTGCATCGGCAGATGACCATGGTCCAGGGTTGTGGAGGCTTCAGGCACCCCATGCTGGGGGTGAAGGCGTCAGGAACATCATATCGGCGGTACTAGACTCGCAAGCGAATTATCCGGACCAGGGCCTGGAGAGGCTGGTGACGAACCTGCGAGCAAGCATGAGAGCTCATGTAGCGGAGGAGAGGAAAAGGGTTAAGGCGACCATGGTGCACTTGGAGCTGAAGGTGGAAGAGCTCAGATGGAAGGTGATGTCAGACCCTTCGTCGCAGGCTCTGTACGAGGACCTGATAAAAAACGAAGCGGCTCTCAAGCTTTACCAGGACAGTAACAAAGAGCGGCTGCAAGTTCTGACGGGGTTGCTGCAAGAGCTGGCGGGGGAGACTCCATCAGGCTTCCTGTCGGGCTTGGTCAAGTCCAGGAAGGCGAAAACTGAGATAGCGGAACTTACTTTCAAAGGGGTGCTGAGGAAGGGTGCAAGCGAGGCGCTGCAAGCGGCCTCGGAACATTTCCGAGAAGCCTACGCGCTGTCGCCGTCGTCCGATCCTGTGGAGCCGTGGCCGATTGAAGAGGGAAAGACGCTGCAGGAGAGTGATCGCTTACAGCTGGACAGTGAATGGTCGGAGCAGGAGGTGAAGGCCGCGCTTAAAGGCTTGCCAGCGGGGAAGGCCCCGGGGCAGGACGGCTTGCCGAAAGAATTTTTCGAAAGAAATTGGGAGCTGTTGGGCCCGGCGGTGATGAGGGAAGTCAGGATTTTCGAATCAGCGGGTGTGCTTTCGGAGTCCTTCACAACGGCGGTTACGATACTTCTGCACAAAAAAGGAGACAGGGATGATTTGGGAAATTACCGGCCGATTACATTATTGAGCTTCTTCTACAAACTACTGGCAAAGGTTTTGGCGAATCGTATCAAGGTGGTCTTACCGAGAGTGATCTCCAGCAATCAGTTCGGTTTTCTTCTGGGAAGGAGCCTCACTGACGCTGTCTCTCTGGTAGCGGATGCGATCGACGCTGCGGAGCAGGAGGACGAGGACTGGTTGCTGTTGTTGGTCGATTTTCAGAAAGCTTACGATTCGGTATCACGGGAATACCTCTTCACGACGCTGGACAACATGGGCTTCCCGGGGAAGTTCACAAGATGGGTGAAGGGTCTTCACGACGGAGCGGCGACAAAGGAGCTGTTGAATGGCTGGATTGGAGAACGGGTGGAGATGGCTAAAGGGGTACGTCAAGGCTGTCCGCTTGCCCCATATCTCTTCCTCTGCGCGGTTGAGCCACTCTGTCAAGAAATAGAACGGAGGAAACTGGGGGTCAGGAAGAGAGGTGTGCAAGGGAGCCTAGACTACATTGGGTATGCAGACGACACGACACTGGTACTGAAGGGCAAGGAGCAGGTGGCGGTTGCTGAGAAACTACTGGGGGAGTTCGCGGAGATCTCAGGGTTGAAGGTGAACCGCGATAAGACCACACTAATGCCGCTGGGAAAAAATCGAAGGAGGCTGCAGCCGATAGCGTCGTCTTTCAAGTGGGCGGATAAGAACACGTCTGAAAGGTTGCTCGGAATCTGGATCACCTCTGGAGGCTCGCCGGGACCTGCATGGGACAAGGCTTTTGAAAAAGTTAGCGCGGTGTTGAGCTGCTGGGAGACTAAACATCTCAAAACCTCGGCACGGGTTACAATCATTAACAGTTATGCGATGCCGATCCTGCTCTTCCAGGCGCAGATCTACGCCCCACCATACGAGGTCTGGACTAAAGTGAAGAGGCTTTGTCACAATTTCATCTCGGGAGGGAAGGCGCTCCTCGACAGGCACTTCACGCTATGGAGCTACGAACTGTCGTGCAGAGGACGGAAAGAGGGAGGCCTGGGTGTGATTGATCTGAAGCACCGGATTGACAGCATGGTGATTCAAGGATTGGGGAAGGCCCTGGCGGAGCAGGAGCCACTTCGGAATTGGTTATGGGAGAGAGCGGCGGCTTTTCCCCTCGGCTTGGCCACAATCTACGCGCACCCTTCGGTCCTGAAGTCCTGGCTGGGGGGAGGAACGAGATGGAAAGCCACTATTAAAGCGTTGTGGGACTCAAAACTGGTGACCATAGGCGACCCGGCACACAGGTGGGACGCGGAGGAGGAGCAGCTACTCTTCAATCGCAATATTTTCTTCAGAGGCAGATCACCTTTTGGAAACCAGGCGGGTTCGCTTTGCCTGAAGGGCATTCGACTGGGGGATTTGGTGGCGAAAGGAGGGGATGGCAGCAGATCTCGTAAGAGTGAGGAGGTTCTGGAGAGGGAACTGGGAGGTGAGGAGCAGAGGAAATGGGCCCTGAAGGCGTGGGAGGCGGCGCCGCAGAGGTGGAAGGATCTGGTACTCAACCAACTGTCTGCGGAGGATTTTTTCAGGGAAACAAGGCTGGTCCGCTCTGCGTCTTACCGGCCAGGAGTGTTCTTTTACTACCAGCTGCAGTATGTGATCAACGGCGAACTATATGGTCGAAGAGTGACGGTGGACAGGAAAGGGAACATAGGTGAGGTGGAATATGCTAGCGTGGGAACGGTGGACTTTCGGCGCGTTTCACCCATGGCAGTCATAGACGGGAGGGCCCGCGGCTTACTCGGCGCTCCAAGAACGCGACTGCTTTTTTCCACAATCTGTGAGAAAGGCGAGCGAGCTGATCTAAAGAAGCTGAGGAAGGCGATGAAACCCTCGGTGACGCAACCGAAACAGCAGCTCAAGTGGGAAGAGGAGCTGGGGAGGAAGATCGGCTGGGGGAAGGCCATCATGGTCCGTGACTCACTGGCAACCCCATGCAGGGCACGGGAAGTAATACTGAGGGTGCACAGTAACAACCTCCAGGTGGGAGAACGGCTCCCTTTCTTGGGCGCGAGGGCGAAATGCACGTACTGTGGTGGAGTGGAATCGCAGGATCACTGCCTTTTCAGCTGCCCGACGATCCAACCTGTGGTGGGGGTGATGAGGAAAGCGGTTCAGTGTATGAATCCGGGCAGAGACATGCGATCTCTCGGTGACATGCTCTTCCAAAGGAGTGGCACGTCAACAGGCTTTCCTGAGGCGGCAATCATATCCATAACAGCGCATCAAGTTTGGCTGGAGAGGTGCAACGCGGTTTTCCGCGGTAGCCGTTTCCAACCAAAGAGAGCATTGAGGCGCATAGCGGTTGGCTTCACGAGGCACGTGAAGATCTACAGCAGAGTGCGGAAGAAAACGGCTGGCAGAAATGCCTCGGAAAGGACGGGTGACTGGAGCCACCTGAATGCTGACGAAGCAGGTGCTATGCGCAGGCTCTACGAGACAGAGGCCTCGATGACGTGGAGAGCGGGTTTTAAGGCGATCTGGGAAGATGGCGGTGTTGCTTTCCAAACTTCGTAAAAGGATAAGGGGGGCTCTCGTTACCTGTGTACTTGTAGCCTCTACATGCCCTCCTAGCAACAGTTACGACTGCGGATGTATGTATGCTGGTAGTGTACTTATATCCACCAAAAAAGAAAAAAAAAAAAAAAAGAAGAAAAAAAAAGTGATGGCTAGGGAGGGAGGTGGTTGGGTGGGATGCGGCAGTACCGAGGGAACGAAAACAGTGATGATGTGTTCGAGAATAAAGCTGACGAGGACACGGGAATTCTTGGGACAGGTCATCTCGGTAATTCTTCGGGGCAGTTCAAGGCAATACTAAGCGCGTGTTGTGCTGAGTTTTTTAAATATTTGCTAAATAAGGCTGAGATAAGCGCGAGTCAAGAATTCGAGATTCAGACAGGCAGATGGCAGGAGTCTCGGAAAATCAGGAGGAAGTCGTTGTCACGTGGCGCGTCAGCCACTGCAGGGAAAATGCGCATCATGGGTAAAGCTGATGACGATGGAGGAACTGAGTCAGCAGCTGTCACTTCCAAATAGAAATGGTTCCGCGTTTGTATGAACAGATCCAATACCATGTGAGTGTAATGTGGTCCACAATTAGCAAAAAAATGTGATCGGAGTGAGAAGGTAGTCACATGGAAATGTTGAACTACTAATTCGCACGAGAAAATGAAGCCACATGAAAAATGCTTGGGCATGTTAACTTCCTCAATGCGTGAAAAGCTGCTCGCTACGACGGGGCCTGTCAGGAATGGAACCTAAAAGTAGCAAAAAACACGCCACATTGGAGAAAATAGAATGCGTTCAAAACGGTAAGCAATTCGAATACTGTGAACAAAATGAACCAACGATTCAGAACTAGCTACAAAGAAAAATGTACCTGAAAAAGCGAGGGTGGGTTCAGGAGGTACCTGGTTTGAATTTGGCAGCTTCGTGCCGCGCGAGTTCAGGAGGCACGGCACAACCGCTTTGCGTAAGCATCTGTGATTGGAGAAGGGACAAGGGGGTGGGGGACGGGGAGGGGAGGGGTTTAAAAATGCACGTTTGAGGCCGTAGAAGAGTGCACAAGAGAAGAGGAGGGAAGTAAGGGAGAGAAAAGAGGAGCGTGAAAGGGGGGGGAGGTCTGATTGAGGTCGTAGAAGAGTGTGAAAGAGAGGAGGGGAGGAGCGGGATAGAGAAGGGGAGCATTGAAGGGGAAGTGGACCTGCTTGAGGTCCGATTCATGCAGCGTGAGAAGGAGGGGGGAGAGCAGGGAGAGAGGGGAGAGGGGAGAGCAGGGAGCGGGGAGAAGGGGGAGCAGGGTGAGGGGAGAGGGGGGAGCGGGGGTAGTGGGGAGCAGACCTGCTTGAGGTTGTCGAAGAGCTCAGAGTCATGCAGGTGTGTTTTGAGTCGACTCAAAACACACCGAGAAGTGTGTGAACGCGAGGAGGAGGGAGAGGAGGGAGAGGGGGGAGCGCACCTGCTTGAGATCGTAGAAGAGCTCCGAGTCATGCAGTGTGAGGAAGGTGGGCGGGGGGGGAGAGGGGGAGCAAGGTGAGAGGAGAGCGGGGAGAGGGGGGAGCGCACCTGCTTGAGATCGTAGAAGAGCTCCGAGTCATGCAGCGTGAGCGGGGAGAGTGAGGAGAGCCGGGAGCGGGTGAACAGGGGGAGAGTCGAGAGAACGGGAAGCTCACCTGCTTGAGGTCGTACAAGAGCTCCGAGTCGTGCAGCGTGAGGAATGTGGTCGCCAGGCATGCCTTTGTGTGTTGACTCATAAGCCATCTTTTAGTCTGATTGAAATGTCACCTTTGAGTCGACCTAAGAGTGCCCAGCTCACCTGCTTGAGATCGTAGAAGAGCTCGGAGTCATGCAGCGTGAGGAAGGTGGTCGCTACTCCTGTCTTGCCCGCCCGCCCCGTTCGCCCTGGCGTGCACAAGCAGCAGGTTGAGGAGACAAGGGGTTGGAGGAGCAGGGAAAGGGGGGAAGAGGGTTAGCAACGAGGAGAAAGCGATGATGATGTGTGAAGAAATATGCGACAGAAAGAATGGAAGGAGAGGAGGAGGGGGGATGAGAGAGGCAAAGAGGAACGTACCGATGCGGTGAGTGTACATCTCAATGTTGCCTGGCATGTCGAAGTTGATCACATGTGCCACGTCCTGATTGGATGGAATGCAGAAGTGGGGATGAAGGATTGATGAATCAGCATGAAGGCTCATGCACTCACACCCTCACTGATCAATCATTCACTCACTTCCTCACTCACTCTATAACTCAATCACACAGCTCTTCATTCACTCACATATTCACACTCTCTTACTCACCCACTCACTCACTCCCTTCCCTTACTCACTCATTTACTCTGCTCCATTGAAATCTAGTGTGAAGACCAGTGAAGTTCTTGATTTTCCTCCCGAAGCGAATCCCTTCCAGCAAACGCTCGCCCAGATATCGACACAATCGCTTTTCCTTCCACCAGCGCCGGCATGTTGTGATAATTTGAAGTCAATGCTCACCGGGATGTCGATACCACGGCCCGCCACGTCTGTTGCCACCAGCACGTTGAACTTCTTGGTTCTGAAGCCCTCCAGGCTGACCTCTCGCTGCTCCTGCGTCTTGCCTCCGTGCAGCGTCGTCACATTGAACCCCATCCTGTCAATCTGCAGACAGGCGAATGCAGAAGAAGAACTCAGACCCCTCTTGTTGGTACTCTCATAATGGTCGGTTTTTGTTTCTTAAGAAATCGCAAAAACCAACCAGGCATGCAAATGCAGAGCAAGCTCAAAGAGCACTCTGTATCAATACAATGCTGAAGATTGATTTTGAGAATTCTCAGAATCAATCTACAATAATTCTGATGGTCACATCGGTGTTAACAAACACAATGACTGTGCGGTCCTCCCAAACGCAAATTACACTCCCCCCCCACCCCTTCATCAACAAACCCTGCCCAACTGGACTGGACCCAACCAAAACCAACCCACCTGCTTGGCAACACCATCGGCTGTCTTCTTGGTGTTCACAACCACACTCACCGTGCGGTCCTCCCCAACACCAATCTCAACAACCCCCACCACCCCCCCCCCCCCCCCCCAACACACCTCGTTTCCCCCAACAACCCCCTTGCATACCTGCTTGGCAACACCATCAGCCGTCTTCTTGGTGTTGACAAACACAATGGCCGTGCGGTCCTCCCCAACTTCTTCCAACAGGCGCTGCAGGCGGGAGATCTTCTCAGAGTCCTTCACCATGAACACGTTCTGCGTGATGAGCTCTGTCGCCTTGCCTGCCGTGCCAATCGTTACCTGAAATTACAGTAGGGAAAGGGAGATGGAACGAGACGAGACACAGAGGCAATTGCAGGCGGGAGATCTTCTCAGAGTCCTTCACCATGAACATGTTCTGCGTGATGAGCTCTGTCGCCTTGCCTGCCGTGCCAATGATCACCTGTAATTGAGGAGTGGGAAGGACACACAGAGAGGGAGGGAGATGCACATGGAAGGGGAGTGCAGGCAGGCTATCTTCTCGGAATCCTTCACCAGAAACACGTTCTGCGTGATGAGCTCTGTGGAAATCCCGCTGTGCCGATGGTCACCTGTACGGGAAAAAGAGGAAGACGAACAGAGGAACAGGCTTGATTGCAGGCGGGAGATCTTCTCAGAGCCCTTCACCATAAACATGTTCTGTGTGATGAGCTCTGTCGCCTTGCCTGCCGTGCCAATGGTCACCTGTGTGGGAAAAAGAGGGAGATGGAAACAACAGGGCTGCGGAGGAATTTGCGCGCCAGCCTCTCGACGCTGGGAGGCATGGTGGCGGAGAAAATGTAGGTCACCCGGTAGATGCGGGAAGAGAGGAGAGGAGAGGATGGGAGGAGAGGGGAGAGGAGAGGAAGGGAGAAACAGCATGGAGCAGAGAGAGGCACGTACCACGACGGGATTGCGAAGGTATTTCCTGGCCAGCCGTTCAACGCTGGGAGGCATGGTGGCAGAGAACATGTAGGTCACCCGGTAGATGCGGGAGGCATCCAGCTCTGCATCCTCGTTCTCGGGCTTGAGGAATGTCGTGTTCATGGCTTCCAGCACTCCTGTCACCTGTGCACAACAGGGGGGTTGGGGGGCGGAATGGGGAGAGAGCGATCAGATGCGGGAAGCGTACAGCTCTGCATCCTCGCTGTCAAGCTTGAGGGAGGACGATGGCATGGCCTCGGGCACTCCTGTGACTTGTTCAGAGTGTGCAAGAGAAGAGGGGGAGGGAGAGGAAACGAACAAGTAGGTCCCTTGCTAGATCGTTATGGCAGGCATCCAACTGTGCATGCTCGCAGTCTGGATGGGACGAGGGCATGGCCTCCAAGTCCATGTGAGGCAAACATGCTGTGACGGGTAACCCAAGGCTCATGCATCATACCTGCCGGTAAGCCCATGTCAATCATGCGATCAGCCTCGTCAAGCACCACGTGGTTGCACTGGTTCAGCACCCTTCCCAAATGGCCAAGTGAAGAGGTAGGCTCTCATATGAGGGGCAGGCTGATGTGAGTAGTAAGCACTTATGCATACCTGAGGTTCAAAGCCCATGTCAAACATACAATCAGCCTCGTCCAGCACCACGTAGTTGCACTGGTTCAGCACCCTCTAGGCCCATGTGAGGGGCCCGCATGTGAGATAAGCTGATGGGGGATAGGCTGCTATGAGTAGTGGAACACTTATGCTTACCTGAGGTTCAAAGCCCATGTCAATCATACGATCAGCCTCGTCCAGCACCACGTAGTTGCACTGGTTCAGCACCCTCTAGGCCCATGTGAGGGGCCCGCATGTGAGATAGGCTGATGGGGGATAGGCTGCTATGAGTAGTGGAACACTTATGCTTACCTGAGGTTCAAAGCCCATGTCAATCATACGATCAGCCTCGTCCAGCACCACGTAGTTGCACTGGTTCAGCACCTTAAAGCCCTCTGAGGCAAGGTTACACTCCTACACACACCTAACGGTTAAAGCCCGTGTCTCTCATGCAGCATACCTGAGGCTCAAAGCCCATGTCAATCATGCGATCAGCCTCGTCCAGCACCACATAGTTGCACTGGTTCAGCACGGCATAGCGCCTCTCCAGACAGTCCAGCAGTCGCCCTGGTGTGGCGATCACAATCTCACAGCCCTGACAGACAGCGGGAGTGGGGGGGTTGGGGGGGGTGAGAGGAGGAGGGGTTCGGAGGAGGAGGAAAGAGCAGGGCCTGTAAGCGTGTTGCACTGTAACGAGGTGACTGTGTTTAGCATCCTCAGAAGAAAGAACGAAGCAGAGGCCGTGTTGATCCGCTCACCTGGCGCAGCTTAAAGCCTTGCTCCTCAATGGACTGCCCTCCTACGATCGACACGACCCGGAGATTCTGCAGCACAGAAAGAAAGATAAGTGAGGAAAGGGTGTTTTGAGACGTCTCAAGATAAGTGAGGAAAGGGTGTTTTGAGACGTCTCAAGATAAGTGAGGAAAGGGTGTTTTGAGACGTCTCAAGATAAGTGAGGAAAGGGTGTTTTGAGACGTCTCAAGATAAGTGAGGAAAGGGTGTTTTGAGACGTCTCAAGATAAGTGAGGAAAGGGTGTTTTGAGACGTCTCAAGATAAGTGAGGAAAGGGTGTTTTGAGACGTCTCAAGATAAGTGAGGAAAGGGTGTTTTGAGACGTCTCAAGATAAGTGAGGAAAGGGTGTTTTGAGACGTCTCAAGATAAGTGAGGAAAGGGTGTTTTGAGACGTCTCAAGATAAGTGAGGAAAGGGTGTTTTGAGACGTCTCAAGATAAGTGAGGAAAGGGTGTTTTGAGACGTCTCAAGATAAGTGAGGAAAGGGTGTTTTGAGACGTCTCAAGATAAGTGAGGAAAGGGTGTTTTGAGACGTCTCAAGATAAGTGAGGAAAGGGTGTTTTGAGACGTCTCAAGATAAGTGAGGAAAGGGTGTTTTGAGACGTCTCAAGATAAGTGAGGAAAGGGTGTTTTGAGACGTCTCAAGATAAGTGAGGAAAGGGTGTTTTGAGACGTCTCAAGATAAGTGAGGAAAGGGTGTTTTGAGACGTCTCAAGATAAGTGAGGAAAGGGTGTTTTGAGACGTCTCAAGATAAGTGAGGAAAGGGTGTTTTGAGACGTCTCAAGATAAGTGAGGAAAGGGTGTTTTGAGACGTCTCAAGATAAGTGAGGAAAGGGTGTTTTGAGACGTCTCAAGATAAGTGAGGAAAGGGTGTTTTGAGACGTCTCAAGATAAGTGAGGAAAGGGTGTTTTGAGACGTCTCAAGATAAGTGAGGAACGGGTGTTTTGAGACGTCTCAAGATAAGTGAGGAAAGGGTGTTTTGAGACGTCTCAAGATAAGTGAGGAAAGGGTGTTTTGAGACGTCTCAAGATAAGTGAGGAAAGGGTGTTTTGAGACGTCTCAAGATAAGTGAGGAAAGGGTGTTTTGAGACGTCTCAAGATAAGTGAGGAAAGGGTGTTTTGAGACGTCTCAAGATAAGTGAGGAAAGGGTGTTTTGAGACGTCTCAAGATAAGTGAGGAAAGGGTGTTTTGAGACGTCTCAAGATAAGTGAGGAAAGGGTGTTTTGAGACGTCTCAAGATAAGTGAGGAAAGGGTGTTTTGAGACGTCTCAAGATAAGTGAGGAAAGGGTGTTTTGAGACGTCTCAAGATAAGTGAGGAAAGGGTGTTTTGAGACGTCTCAAGATAAGTGAGGAAAGGAAAGGGTGTTTTGAGACGTCTCAAGATAAGTGAGGAAAGGGTGTTTTGAGACGTCTCAAGATAAGTGAGGAAAGGGTGTTTTGAGACGTCTCAAGATAAGTGAGGAAAGGGTGTTTTGAGACGTCTCAAGATAAGTGAGGAAAGGGTGTTTTGAGACGTCTCAAGATAAGTGAGGAAAGGGTGTTTTGAGACGTCTCAAGATAAGTGAGGAAAGGGTGTTTTGAGACGTCTCAAGATAAGTGAGGAAAGGGTGTTTTGAGACGTCTCAAGATAAGTGAGGAAAGGGTGTTTTGAGACGTCTCAAGATAAGTGAGGAAAGGGGTGTTTTGAGACGTCTCAAGATAAGTGAGGAAAGGGTGTTTTGAGACGTCTCAAGATAAGTGAGGAAAGGGTGTTTTGAGACGTCTCAAGATAAGTGAGGAAAGGGTGTTTTGAGACGTCTCAAGATAAGTGAGGAAAGGGTGTTTTGAGACGTCTCAAGATAAGTGAGGAAAGGGTGTTTTGAGACGTCTCAAGATAAGTGAGGAAAGGGTGTTTTGAGACGTCTCAAGATAAGTGAGGAAAGGGTGTTTTGAGACGTCTCAAGATAAGTGAGGAAAGGGTGTTTTGAGACGTCTCAAGATAAGTGAGGAAAGGGTGTTTTGAGACGTCTCAAGATAAGTGAGGAAAGGGTGTTTTGAGACGTCTCAAGATAGTGAGGAAAGGGTGTTTTGAGACGTCTCAAGATAAGTGAGGAAAGGGTGTTTTGAGACGTCTCAAGATAAGTGAGGAAAGGGTGTTTTGAGACGTCTCAAGATAAGTGAGGAAAGGGTGTTTTGAGACGTCTCAAGATAAGTGAGGAAAGGGTGTTTTGAGACGTCTCAAGATAAGTGAGGAAAGGGTGTTTTGAGACGTCTCAAGATAAGTGAGGAAAGGGTGTTTTGAGACGTCTCAAGATAAGTGAGGAAAGGGTGTTTTGAGACGTCTCAAGATAAGTGAGGAAAGGGTGTTTTGAGACGTCTCAAGATAAGTGAGGAAAGGGTGTTTTGAGACGTCTCAAGATAAGTGAGGAAAGGGTGTTTTGAGACGTCTCAAGATAAGTGAGGAAAGGGTGTTTTGAGACGTCTCAAGATAAGTGAGGAAAGGGTGTTTTGAGACGTCTCAAGATAAGTGAGGAAAGGGTGTTTTGAGACGTCTCAAGATAAGTGAGGAAAGGGTGTTTTGAGACGTCTCAAGATAAGTGAGGAAAGGGTGTTTGAGACGTCTCAAGATAAGTGAGGAAAGGGTGTTTTGAGACGTCTCAAGATAAGTGAGGAAAGGGTGTTTTGAGACGTCTCAAGATAAGTGAGGAAAGGGTGTTTTGAGACGTCTCAAGATAAGTGAGGAAAGGGTGTTTTGAGACGTCTCAAGATAAGTGAGGAAAGGGTGTTTTGAGACGTCTCAAGATAAGTGAGGAAAGGGTGTTTTGAGACGTCTCAAGATAGTGAGGAAAGGGTGTTTTGAGACGTCTCAAGATAAGTGAGGAAAGGGTGTTTTGAGACGTCTCAAGATAAGTGAGGAAAGGGTGTTTTGAGACGTCTCAAGATAAGTGAGGAAAGGGTGTTTTGAGACGTCTCAAGATAAGTGAGGAAAGGGTGTTTTGAGACGTCTCAAGATAAGTGAGGAAAGGGTGTTTTGAGACGTCTCAAGATAAGTGAGGAAAGGGTGTTTTGAGACGTCTCAAGATAAGTGAGGAAAGGGTGTTTTGAGACGTCTCAAGATAAGTGAGGAAAGGGTGTTTTGAGACGTCTCAAGATAAGTGAGGAAAGGGTGTTTTGAGACGTCTCAAGATAAGTGAGGAAAGGGTGTTTTGAGACGTCTCAAGATAAGTGAGGAAAGGGTGTTTTGAGACGTCTCAAGATAAGTGAGGAAAGGGTGTTTTGAGACGTCTCAAGATAAGTGAGGAAAGGGTGTTTTGAGACGTCTCAAGATAAGTGAGGAAAGGGTGTTTTGAGACGTCTCAAGATAAGTGAGGAAAGGGTGTTTTGAGACGTCTCAAGATAAGTGAGGAAAGGGGTGTGGTGTTTTGAGACGTCTCAAGATAAGTGAGGAAAGGGTGTTTTGAGACGTCTCAAGATAAGTGAGGAAAGGGTGTTTTGAGACGTCTCAAGATAAGTGAGGAAAGGGTGTTTTGAGACGTCTCAAGATAAGTGAGGAAAGGGTGTTTTGAGACGTCTCAAGATAAGTGAGGAAAGGGTGTTTTGAGACGTCTCAAGATAAGTGAGGAAAGGGTGTTTTGAGACGTCTCAAGATAAGTGAGGAAAGGGTGTTTTGAGAACGTCTCAAGATAAGTGAGGAAAGGGTGTTTTGAGACGTCTCAAGATAAGTGAGGAAAGGGTGTTTTGAGACGTCTCAAGATAAGTGAGGAAAGGGTGTTTTGAGACGTCTCAAGATAAGTGAGGAAAGGGTGTTTTGAGACGTCTCAAGATAAGTGAGGAAAGGGTGTTTTGAGACGTCTCAAGATAAGTGAGGAAAGGGTGTTTTGAGACGTCTCAAGATAAGTGAGGAAAGGGTGTTTTGAGACGTCTCAAGATAAGTGAGGAAAGGGTGTTTTGAGACGTCTCAAGATAAGTGAGGAACGGGTGTTTTGAGACGTCTCAAGATAAGTGAGGAACGGGTGTTTGAGACGTCTCAAGATAAGTGAGGAAAGGGTGTTTTGAGACGTCTCAAGATAAGTGAGGAAAGGGTGTTTTGAGACGTCTCAAGATAAGTGAGGAACGGGTGTTTTGAGGACGTCTCAAGATAAGTGAGGAAAGGGTGTTTTGAGACGTCTCAAGATAAGTGAGGAAAGGGTGTTTGAGACGTCTCAAGATAAGTGAGGAAAGGGTGTTTTGAGACGTCTCAAGATAAGTGAGGAAAGGGTATTTTGAGACGTCTCAAGATAAGTGAGGAAAGGGTGTTTTGAGACGTCTCAAGATAAGTGAGGAAAGGGTGTTTTGAGACGTCTCAAGATAAGTGAGGAAAGGGTGTTTTGAGACGTCTCAAGATAAGTGAGGAAAAGGGTGTTTTGAGACGTCTCAAGATAAGTGAGGAAAGGGTGTTTTGAGACGTCTCAAGATAAGTGAGGAAAGGGTGTTTTGAGACGTCTCAAGATAAGTGAGGAAAGGGTGTTTTGAGACGTCTCAAGATAAGTGAGGAAAGGGTGTTTTGAGACGTCTCAAGATAAGTGAGGAAAGGGTGTTTTGAGACGTCTCAAGATAAGTGAGGAAAGGGTGTTTTGAGACGTCTCAAGATAAGTGAGGAAAGGGTGTTTTGAGACGTCTCAAGATAAGTGAGGAAAGGGTGTTTTGAGACGTCTCAAGATAAGTGAGGAAAGGGTGTTTTGAGACGTCTCAAGATAAGTGAGGAAAGGGTGTTTTGAGACGTCTCAAGATAAGTGAGGAAAGGGTGTTTGAGACGTCTCAAGATAAGTGAGGAAAGGGTGTTTTGAGACGTCTCAAGATAAGTGAGGAAAGGGTGTTTTGAGACGTCTCAAGATAAGTGAGGAAAGGGTGTTTTGAGACGTCTCAAGATAAGTGAGGAAAGGGTGTTTTGAGACGTCTCAAGATAAGTGAGGAAGGGTGTTTTGAGACGTCTCAAGATAAGTGAGGAAAGGGTGTTTTGAGACGTCTCAAGATAAGTGAGGAAAGGGTGTTTTGAGACGTCTCAAGATAAGTGAGGAAAGGGTGTTTTGAGACGTCTCAAGATAAGTGAGGAAAGGGTGTTTTGAGACGTCTCAAGATAAGTGAGGAAAGGGTGTTTTGAGACGTCTCAAGATAAGTGAGGAAAGGGTGTTTTGAGACGTCTCAAGATAAGTGAGGAAAGGGTGTTTTGAGACGTCTCAAGATAAGTGAGGAAAGGGTGTTTTGAGACGTCTCAAGATAAGTGAGGAAAGGGTGTTTTGAGACGTCTCAAGATAAGTGAGGAAAGGGTGTTTTGAGACGTCTCAAGATAAGTGAGGAAAGGGTGTTTTGAGACGTCTCAAGATAAGTGAGGAAAGGGTGTTTTGAGACGTCTCAAGATAAGTGAGGAAAGGGTGTTTTGAGACGTCTCAAGATAAGTGAGGAAAGGGTGTTTTGAGACGTCTCAAGATAAGTGAGGAAAGGGTGTTTTGAGACGTCTCAAGATAAGTGAGGAAAGGGTGTTTTGAGACGTCTCAAGATAAGTGAGGAAAGGGTGTTTTGAGACGTCTCAAGATAAGTGAGGAAAGGGTGTTTTGAGACGTCTCAAGATAAGTGAGGAAAGGGTGTTTTGAGACGTCTCAAGATAAGTGAGGAAAGGGTGTTTTGAGACGTCTCAAGATAAGTGAGGAAAGGGTGTTTTGAGACGTCTCAAGATAAGTGAGGAAAGGGTGTTTGAGACGTCTCAAGATAAGTGAGGAAAGGGTGTTTTGAGACGTCTCAAGATAAGTGAGGAAAGGGTGTTTTGAGACGTCTCAAGATAAGTGAGGAAAGGGTGTTTTGAGACGTCTCAAGATAAGTGAGGAAAGGGGTGTTTTGAGACGTCTCAAGATAAGTGAGGAAAGGGTGTTTTGAGACGTCTCAAGATAAGTGAGGAAAGGGTGTTTTGAGACGTCTCAAGATAAGTGAGGAAAGGGTGTTTTGAGACGTCTCAAGATAAGTGAGGAAAGGGTGTTTTGAGACGTCTCAAGATAAGTGAGGAAAGGGTGTTTTGAGACGTCTCAAGATAAGTGAGGAAAGGGTGTTTTGAGACGTCTCAAGATAAGTGAGGAAAGGGTGTTTTGAGACGTCTCAAGATAAGTGAGGAAAGGGTGTTTTGAGACGTCTCAAGATAAGTGAGGAAAGGGTGTTTTGAGACGTCTCAAGATAAGTGAGGAAAGGGTGTTTTGAGACGTCTCAAGATAAGTGAGGAAAGGGTGTTTTGAGACGTCTCAAGATAAGTGAGGAAAGGGTGTTTTGAGACGTCTCAAGATAAGTGAGGAAAGGGTGTTTTGAGACGTCTCAAGATAAGTGAGGAAAGGGTGTTTTGAGACGTCTCAAGATAAGTGAGGAAAGGGTGTTTTGAGACGTCTCAAGATAAGTGAGGAAAGGGGTGTTTTGAGACGTCTCAAGATAAGTGAGGAAAGGGTGTTTTGAGACGTCTCAAGATAAGTGAGGAAAGGGTGTTTTGAGACGTCTCAAGATAAGTGAGGAAAGGGTGTTTTGAGACGTCTCAAGATAAGTGAGGAAAGGGTGTTTTGAGACGTCTCAAGATAAGTGAGGAAAGGGTGTTTTGAGACGTCTCAAGATAAGTGAGGAAAGGGTGTTTTGAGACGTCTCAAGATAAGTGAGGAAAGGGTGTTTTGAGACGTCTCAAGATAAGTGAGGAAAGGGTGTTTTGAGACGTCTCAAGATAAGTGAGGAAAGGGTGTTTTGAGACGTCTCAAGATAAGTGAGGAAAGGGTGTTTTGAGACGTCTCAAGATAAGTGAGGAAAGGGTGTTTTGAGACGTCTCAAGATAAGTGAGGAAAGGGTGTTTTGAGACGTCTCAAGATAAGTGAGGAAAGGGTGTTTTGAGACGTCTCAAGATAAGTGAGGAAAGGGTGTTTTGAGACGTCTCAAGATAAGTGAGGAAAGGGTGTTTTGAGACGTCTCAAGATAAGTGAGGAAAGGGTGTTTTGAGACGTCTCAAGATAAGTGAGGAAAGGGTGTTTTGAGACGTCTCAAGATAAGTGAGGAAAGGGTGTTTTGAGACGTCTCAAGATAAGTGAGGAAAGGGTGTTTTGAGACGTCTCAAGATAAGTGAGGAAAGGGTGTTTTGAGACGTCTCAAGATAAGTGAGGAAAGGGTGTTTTGAGACGTCTCAAGATAAGTGAGGAAAGGGTGTTTTGAGACGTCTCAAGATAAGTGAGGAAAGGGTGTTTTGAGACGTCTCAAGATAAGTGAGGAAAGGGTGTTTTGAGACGTCTCAAGATAAGTGAGGAAAGGGTGTTTTGAGACGTCTCAAGATAAGTGAGGAAAGGGTGTTTTGAGACGTCTCAAGATAAGTGAGGAAAGGGTGTTTTGAGACGTCTCAAGATAAGTGAGGAAAGGGTGTTTTGATTAACGTCTCAAGATAAGTGAGGAAAGGGTGTTTTGAGACGTCTCAAGATAAGTGAGGAAAGGGTGTTTTGAGACGTCTCAAGATAAGTGAGGAAAGGGTGTTTTGAGACGTCTCAAGATAAGTGAGGAAAGGGTGTTTTGAGACGTCTCAAGATAAGTGAGGAAAGGGTGTTTTGAGACGTCTCAAGATAAGTGAGGAAAGGGTGTTTTGAGACGTCTCAAGATAAGTGAGGAAAGGGTGTTTTGAGACGTCTCAAGATAAGTGAGGAAAGGGTGTTTTGAGACGTCTCAAGATAAGTGAGGAAAGGGTGTTTTGAGACGTCTCAAGATAAGTGAGGAAAGGGTGTTTTGAGACGTCTCAAGATAAGTGAGGAAAGGGTGTTTTGAGACGTCTCAAGATAAGTGAGGAAAGGGTGTTTTGAGACGTCTCAAGATAAGTGAGGAAAGGGTGTTTTGAGACGTCTCAAGATAAGTGAGGAAAGGGTGTTTTGAGACGTCTCAAGATAAGTGAGGAAAGGGTGTTTTGAGACGTCTCAAGATAAGTGAGGAAAGGGTGTTTTGAGACGTCTCAAGATAAGTGAGGAAAGGGTGTTTTGAGACGTCTCAAGATAAGTGAGGAAAGGGTGTTTTGAGACGTCTCAAGATAAGTGAGGAAAGGGTGTTTTGAGACGTCTCAAGATAAGTGAGGAAAGGGTGTTTTGAGACGTCTCAAGATAAGTGAGGAAAGGGTGTTTTGAGACGTCTCAAGATAAGTGAGGAAAGGGTGTTTTGAGACGTCTCAAGATAAGTGAGGAAAGGGTGTTTTGAGACGTCTCAAGATAAGTGAGGAAAGGGTGTTTTGAGACGTCTCAAGATAAGTGAGGAAAGGGTGTTTTTGAGACGTCTCAAGATAAGTGAGGAAAGGGTGTTTTGAGACGTCTCAAGATAAGTGAGGAAAGGGTGTTTTGAGACGTCTCAAGATAAGTGAGGAAAGGGTGTTTTGAGACGTCTCAAGATAAGTGAGGAAAGGGTGTTTTGAGACGTCTCAAGATAAGTGAGGAAAGGGTGTTTTGAGACGTCTCAAGATAAGTGAGGAAAGGGTGTTTTGAGACGTCTCAAGATAAGTGAGGAAAGGGTGTTTTGAGACGTCTCAAGATAAGTGAGGAAAGGGTGTTTTGAGACGTCTCAAGATAAGTGAGGAAAGGGTGTTTTGAGACGTCTCAAGATAAGTGAGGAAAGGGTGTTTTGAGACGTCTCAAGATAAGTGAGGAAAGGGTGTTTTGAGACGTCTCAAGATAAGTGAGGAAAGGGTGTTTTGAGACGTCTCAAGATAAGTGAGGAAAGGGTGTTTTGAGACGTCTCAAGATAAGTGAGGAAAGGGTGTTTTGAGACGTCTCAAGATAAGTGAGGAAAGGGTGTTTTGAGACGTCTCAAGATAAGTGAGGAAAGGGTGTTTTGAGACGTCTCAAGATAAGTGAGGAAAGGGTGTTTTGAGACGTCTCAAGATAAGTGAGGAAAGGGTGTTTTGAGACGTCTCAAGATAAGTGAGGAAAGGGTGTTTGAGACGTCTCAAGATAAGTGAGGAAAGGGTGTTTTGAGACGTCTCAAGATAAGTGAGGAAAGGGTGTTTTGAGACGTCTCAAGATAAGTGAGGAAAGGGTGTTTTGAGACGTCTCAAGATAAGTGAGGAAAGGGTGTTTTGAGACGTCTCAAGATAAGTGAGGAAAGGGTGTTTTGAGACGTCTCAAGATAAGTGAGGAAAGGGTGTTTTGAGACGTCTCAAGATAAGTGAGGAAAGGGTGTTTTGAGACGTCTCAAGATAAGTGAGGAAAGGGTGTTTTGAGACGTCTCAAGATAAGTGAGGAAAGGGTGTTTTGAGACGTCTCAAGATAAGTGAGGAAAGGGTGTTTTGAGACGTCTCAAGATAAGTGAGGAAAGGGTGTTTTGAGACGTCTCAAGATAAGTGAGGAAAGGGTGTTTTGAGACGTCTCAAGATAAGTGAGGAAAGGGTGTTTTGAGACGTCTCAAGATAAGTGAGGAAAGGGTGTTTTGAGACGTCTCAAGATAAGTGAGGAAAGGGTGTTTTGAGACGTCTCAAGATAAGTGAGGAAAGGGTGTTTTGAGACGTCTCAAGATAAGTGAGGAAAGGGTGTTTTGAGACGTCTCAAGATAAGTGAGGAAAGGGTGTTTTGAGACGTCTCAAGATAAGTGAGGAAAGGGTGTTTTGAGACGTCTCAAGATAAGTGAGGAAAGGGTGTTTTGAGACGTCTCAAGATAAGTGAGGAAAGGGTGTTTTGAGACGTCTCAAGATAAGTGAGGAAAGGGTGTTTTGAGACGTCTCAAGATAAGTGAGGAAAGGGTGTTTTGAGACGTCTCAAGATAAGTGAGGAAAGGGTGTTTTGAGACGTCTCAAGATAAGTGAGTGTCGCGGTGAGTGAAGGCGAGGGGAGAACAAGGAAGGTTGAGGAAACTTGTTGTGAATCGGAGAATGGCAATGGTTGTGGGGAGTGGGTGGAATGCAAAGAGGAGATTATGCCCATCGCATTGCTCCCAGATCGACTGCCCCCCCTCCCACACTCAACATGGCTGTAAAAAAGGCTGACGTACAGGACATTAAAACGGCATACAACGCACCATGAATTGGGCAAACTTCACGGTTTCCTCCTCGATCTGCTGCGCCAGCTCTCTGGTGGGCGCCATGACCACGGCGTACGGCCCCTCCGCCTCGTTGGCCTCGGTCATGGGCGGCAGCTTTGAGATGTACGTCAGCATGGGCAGCACAAAGGCACATGTCTTGCCGGAACCTGGGGAGATGGGATGGGAGAAGGGATGGAGGGGCAGGCAAGGGGGTGTGTTGTGTGGGGAAATGGGGGCCCTCGGCCTCATTGACCTTGGTCATGGGCGGCAGCTTTGAGATGTACGTCAGCATGGGCAGCACAAAGGCACATGTCTTGCCGGAACCTGGGGAGATGGGAGAAAGGATGGAGGGGCAGGCAAGGGGGTGTGTGTGGGGAGAGGGGCTCCCTGGCTGGCCTTGTTGGCCTCTGTCATGGGCGGCAGCTTTGAAATACACATCAGCACGGGCAGCACAAAGGCGCACGTCTTGCCGGAAGCTGGGGAGATGGAGGGTGGGGGAAGCAGGAGATAAGTGGGGGGAGGGGAGGGGTGGGGGGAGAGTGGAAGGGTAAACCAGTTGCAGTCTGGAGGTTAAGGGCAGCATGAGGGTCTCGTTGGGCTCGTTGGCCTCGTTGGCCTCGTTGGCCTCGTTGGCTTCGCTGGCCTGTGTGATGGGCGGCAGCTTGGAGATGTACGTCAGCATGGGCAGCACAAAGGCGCATGTCTTGCCGGAACCTGCGGGATAGGGAGTATGAGAGGCCACAAAAATGAATTGCCAAGTAAAACTAAACCCCGAACCCTTGACAGCTTATTATTGGGTGTGCATGTCGGGGAGTGCAAGCCTGCAAGGGAAGCATGGCCATCTCCCCATATGATGCATCAGCCCATATGATGCATCAGCCCATATGATGCATCAGCCCATATGATGCATCAGCCCATATGATGCATCTCCCCATATGATGCATCAGCCCATATGATGCATCAGCCCATATGATGCATCAGCCCATATGATGCATCAGCCCATATGATGCATCAGCCCATATGATGCATCAGCCCATATGATGCATCAGCCCATATGATGCATCAACCCATATGATGCATCAGCCCATATGATGCATCAGCCCATATGATGCATCAGCCCATATGATGCATCAGCCCATATGATGCATCAGCCCATATGATACAACCCACTCCTCACCGCACCAGTCTCAGCAATGCCAGTCATGTCTCGCTGCTGCTGCTGCAGCCCGATGGGCAGCGCTGCCATCTATATTGGCAACGGCTTGGTGGGTGTGGATCAAGGAGTAGTAGCAGCAAGGGGTGAAGTGTAGTTGTACACGCACACATACGTCTGACTCATCCATCATTCTATCTCACCAGTCTCGGCGATGCCAATCACGTCTCGCTGCTGCAGCCCAATGGGCATGGCGGCCATCTGAATGGGCGACGGCTTGGTGTGTGTGCGTGTGTGTGCATGCAGACTTGGGTGCATCCTTCAACTCACCAGTCTCAGCAATCCCAATCACGTCTCGCTGCTGCAGCCCAATGGGCATGGCGGCCATCTGGATGGGCGACGGCTTGGTGTAACCGATCTCCTTCACGGCCCGCAGCAGCTCTGCTGACAGCCCGCTCTCCTCCCAGTTGCGCATGGGGCGAGGCACCTTGGAGCCCTGGAAGAGGAAGGGTGAGGGAGAGAAGAGGACCATGGGGTAAGAAAGGGCAGTACGGAGAGTACGTCAGCAGGTGAGGACATGCCCGCAGCAGCTTCGCTGACAGCCCGCAGCAGCTTCGCTGACAGCCCGCTCTCCTCCCAGTTGCGCATGGGGCGAGGCACCTTGGAGCCCTGGAAGAGGAAGGGTGAGGGAGAGAAGAGGACCATGGGGTAAGAAAGGGCAGTACGGAGAGTACGTCAGCAGGTGAGGACATGCCCGCAGCAGCTTCGCTGACAGCCCGCAGCAGCTTCGCTGACAGCCCGCTCTCCTCTGAGTTGCGCATGGGACGCGGCACCTTGGAGCCCTGTGGAGTGGAAAAATTGGAAAACAAAGAGCAGCTGAAGCCTGGGAACAGAGAGGAGAGGAGCAGCATTGGTGCATCCGGGCTTGGTGTAACCGATCTCCTTCACGGCCCGCAGCAGCTCCAATAATATATTGCCAACCCTTCTTTCAGTTGCACATGGCACGTGGCACCTTGGAGTTCTGGTAAGGGGAAGAAGGAGAGTGGAGGGCAAGAGCAAGAAAGCACAGTATGAAAGAGCATCGAGGCAAGAATTGATGCAGTGCAGCCACAATGACAATGGCTTGGAAGGAAACATGCAGACGTCGGGTTCGACTGCGAAAACATTGGCGATTGCTACTAGAGCTCTTCTAGTAGACATGAGCTTATACATCTAATCTGTTCTAGTAGACATGAGCTTATACATCTAATCTGTTCTAGTAGACATGAGCTTATACATCTAATCTAGTAGACATGAGTTTATACATCTATCTGTTCTAGTAGACATGAGCTTATACATCTAATCTGTTCTAGTAGACATGAGTTTATACATCTAATCTGTTCTAGTAGACATGAGTTTATACATCTAATCTGTTCTAGTAGACATGAGCATATACATCTCATCTGTTCTAGTAGACATGAGCTTATACATCTAATCGCAGTACCTTGTACGCAATGTTGAAGTCCAGTTTTGAGACGTCTCATACCTTGTACGCAATGTTGAAGTCCTCTCGGAAAATGCGCCAGTCACGCTCGTTCATCTCGCTCAGCTGGTGAGGGGAGAGGTGAGTGAGGGGAGAGGTGAGTGAGGGGAGAGGTGAGTGAGGGGAGAGGTGAGTGAGGGGAGAGGTGAGTGAGGGAACGGATGGAGATAGCAAGGATATGGTTAGCTTCTTGAGAGTAACTAAAAAAACTGCCACAGGTGGCAACATGCGAGTCACACGGCAACACAGAACTGGTGCAACCTCTCCCCTCCCTTAACAAATGTTGCTCCATTCGAGACCAGAGATAAGAGGACACAGAAAACACTTTTGAGGCGCCTCTAAAATGTTGCTCGCACCATACGAGAACAGGGATAAGAGGACGCAGAAAAGAGCAACGGGGGGGAGGGGGGGGTGGGGGGGCAAGGGGAAAGGCAAGAGGAAGGGGGCGGAAGTGGGGGGACCACCAAAGCAGGTAAACAAGGAAGATGTACACCATGATGTGATCCATACAGACAGGAGGGTGAGATGTGAGCATCAGAATTTTGAGGCGCCTCAAAAGGGAGGCCACTCAAAGCAGGTAAACAAGGAAGATGTACACCATGATGTGATCCATACAGGAGTGTGAGATGTGAGCATCAGTCACAACGTGCCCATCCACTCACCTTCTTTTCAGACCAGTGCCGGTCAACGCGCATGTCAAACGTGTCATACGCGTTGGCAGCCTCCTCCCCAATCCTGCATGCACACATACACCCACTCGTATTCTCTATTCCAACCACTGCACGTGCCCATCCACTCACCTTCTTCTCAGACCAGTGCCGGTCAACGCGCATGTCAAACGTGTCATACGCGTTGGCAGCCTCCTCCCTCTTCTGCTGCGCCTCTGCATCCTCTGGCCGCTCCTCCACACCCTCCTTCTCCTGCTCGGGCAGTTGAGAGGGGAAAGAGGATAGGCAACAAATGCACATGCACATGGGAACATGAGCATGAACATTCACATGCACATACAGACAGATATAGTCACAAGCAAGCAGGCATGCACATCCGCATTCATGTGTGGGGAGGAACGTGGGATAGGGGATTGAAGGGAGGAAGAAAAGAGGGACAAGCGGAAAGGAAAGGAGAAGCTGAAAAGACTGCATAGGACAAATCTCAACAGCAGCTCCAATAAAGCTGCCAACAACGCCTGCTCTTACCCTAATGGCTGCCCGCATGTCTGCTTCATTCTTCGCTGCAAGCTGATGCGAGGCAAGGACAGGATAGAGGCAGCATGCAAGCAGCATCGAACCGCAGCAGAATGCAACAGATGACATTCGATCATGCCACGCAATGCCACACCATGCCATGCGATGCCATCCCATCCCATGCCATGCCACACCATGGCACGCCATGCCATGCCACGCCAGACACACCACAATATGCCATGCCATGCCATATCGACCATACCACACAGCAGCACGGGACATGATGAGGAGAGAAACAAACATAATGAAGCAAGCGCGAATGAAGAATCAATCAATCTATCATGATGAAAGGAATCGCAAAAGTAGGCAACCTTCTCTCCAACCTCTCATCCCTCATCCCTTAATCCCCCATCCCACCCCACCAAAAAAGACACCCTCTTTTCCTTAATTTCGTCTGCTCCCTCCTATCCTCATGCCCTCTTTCCTCCCCACTCTCCCCACTCTCCCCACTCTCCCCACTCTCCCCACTCTCCCCACTCTCCCCACTCTCCCCACTCTCCCCCACTCTCCCAACTCTCCCCACTCCCCACTCTCCCCACTCTCCCCACTCTCACCTCCCACTCTCCCCACTCTCCCCACTCTCCCACTCTCCCCACTCTCCCACTCTCCCCACTCTCCCACTCTCCCCACTCTCCCCACTCTCCCCACTCTCCCCACTCTCCCCCTCTCCCACTCTCCCCACTCTCCCCACGTCTCCCCACTCTTCCCCACTCCTCCCCACTCTCCCCACTCTCCCCACTCTCCCCACTCTCCCCACTCTCCCCCACTCTCCCCACTCTCCCCACTCTCCCCACTCTCCCCACTCTCCCCACTCTCCCCACTCTCCCCACTCTCCCCACTCTCCCCACTCTCCCCACTCTCCCCACTCTCCCCACTCTCCCCACTCTCCCCACTCTCCCCACTCTCCCCACTCTCCCCACTCTCCCCACTCTCCCCACTCTCCCCACTCTCCCCACTCTCCCCACTCTCCCCACTCTCCCCACTCTCCCCACTCTCCCCACTCTCCCCACTCTCCCCACTCTCCCCACTCTCCCCACTCTCCCCACTCTCCCCACTCTCCCCACTCTCCCCACTCTCCCCACTCTCCCCACTCTCCCCACTCTCCCCACTCTCCCCACTCTCCCCACTCTCCCCACTCTCCCCACTCTCCCCACTCTCCCCACTCTCCCCACTCTCCCCACTCTCCCCACTCTCCCCACTCTCCCCACTCTCCCCACTCTCCCCACTCTCCCCACTCTCCCCACTCTCCCCACTCTCCCCACTCTCCCCACTCTCCCCACTCTCCCCACTCCCCACTCCCCCACTCTCCCCACTCTCCCCACTCTCCCCACTCTCCCCACTCTCCCCACTCTCCCCACTCTCCCCACTCTCCCCACTCTCCCCACTCTCCCCACTCTCCCCACTCTCCCCACTCTCCCCACTCTCCCCACTCTCCCCACTCTCCCCACTCTCCCCACTCTCCCCACTCTCCCCACTCTCCCCACTCTCCCCACTCTCCCCACTCTCCCCACTCTCCCCACTCTCCCCACTCTCCCCACTCTCCCCACTCTCCCCACTCTCCCCACTCTCCCCACTCTCTCCCCACTCTCCCCACTCTCCCCACTCTCCCCACTCTCCCCACTCTCCCCACTCTCCCCACTCTCCCCACTCTCCCCACTCTCCCCACTCTCCCCACTCTCCCCACTCTCCCCACTCTCCCCACTCTCCCCACTCTCCCCACTCTCCCCACCTCCTCCCCACTCTCCCCACTCTCCCCACTCTCCCCACCTCTCCCCACTCTCCCCACTCTCCCCACTGCTCCCCACTCTCCTCCCACTCTCCCCATCTCCCCACTCTCCCCACTCTCCCCACTCTCCCCACTCTCCCCACGTCTCCCCACTCTCCCACTCTCCCCACTCTCCCCACTCTCCCCACTCTCCCCACTCTCCCCCAACTCTCCCCACTCTCCCCACTCTCCCACTCTCCCCACTCTCCCCACTCTGCCCCACTCTCCCCACTCTCCCCACTCTCCCCTCCCACTCTCCCCACTCTCCCCACTCTCCCCACTCTCCCACTCTCCCACTCTCCCCACTCTCCCACTCTCCCCACTCTCCCCACTCCTCCCCACTCTCCCCACTCTCCCCACTCTCCCCACTCTCCCCACTCTCCCCACTCTCCCCACTCTCCCCACCTCTCCCCACTCTCCCCACTCCTCCCCACTCTCCCCAATCTCCCCACTCTCCCCACTCTCCCCACTCTCCCCACCTCTCCCCACTCTCCCCACTCTCCCACTCTCCCCACTCTCCCCACTCTCCCCACTCTCCCCACTCTCCCCACTCTCCCCACTCTCCCACTCTCCCCACTCTCCCCACTCTCCCCACTCTCCCCACTCTCCCCACTCTCCCCACTCTCCCCACTCTCCCCACTCTCCCCACTCTCCCCACTCTCCCCACTCTCCCCACTCTCCCCACTCTCCCCACTCTCCCCACTCTCCCCACTCTCCCCCACTCTCCCCACTCTCCCCACTCTCCCCACTCTCCCCACTCTCCCCACTCTCCCCACTCTCCCCACTCTCCCACTCTCCCCACTCTCCCCACTCTCCCCACTCTCCCCACTCTCCCCACTCTCCCCACTCTCCCCACTCTCCCCACTCTCCCACTCTCCCCACTCTCCCCACTCTCCCCACTCTCCCCACTCTCCCCACTCTCCCACTCTCCCCACTCTCCCCACTCTCCCCACTCTCCCCACTCTCCCCACTCTCCCCACTCTCCCCACTCTCCCCACTCTCCCCACTCTCCCCACTCTCCCCACTCTCCCCACTCTCCCCACTCTCCCCACTCTCCCCACTCTCCCCACTCTCCCCACTCTCCCCACTCTCCCCACCTCCCCACTCTCCCCACTCTCCCCACTCTCCCCACTCTCCCCACTCTCCACAATCTCCCCAATCTCCCCACTCTCCCCACTCTCCCCACTCTCCCCACTCTCCCACTCTCCCCACTCTCCCCACTCTCCCCACTCCTCCCCACTCTCCCCACTCTCCCCACTCTCCCCACTCTCCCACCTCTCCCCACTCTCCCCACTCTCCCCACTCTCCCCACTCTCCCCACTCTCCCCACTCTCCCCACTCTCCCCACTCTCCCACTCTTCGCCCACTCTCCCCACTCTCCCCCATCTCCCCACTCTCCCCCCACTCTCCCCACTCTCCCCACTCTCCCCACTCTCCCCACTCTCCCCACTCTCCCCACTCTCCCCACTCTCCCCACTCTCCCCACTCTCCCCACTCTCCCCACTCTCCCCACTCTCCCCACTCTCCCACTCTCCCACTCTCCCCACTTCTCCCCACTCTCCCCACTCTCCCCCACTCTCCCCACTCTCCCACTCTCCCACTCTCCCCACTCTCCCCACTCTCCCCCTCTCCCCACTCTCCCCACTCTCCCCACTCTCCCCACTCTCCCCACTCTCCCCACTCTCCCCACTCTCCCCACTACTCCCCACTCTCCCCACTCCTCTCCCACTCTCCCCTCTCACCCTCTCCCCACTCTCCCCACTCTCCCCACTCTCCCCACTCTCCCCACTCTCCCCACTCTCCCCACTCTCCCACTCTCCCCACTCTCCCCACTCTCCCCACTCTCCCCACTCTCCCTCACTCTCCCCACTCTCCCCACTCTCCCCACTCTCCCCACTCTCCCCACTCTCCCCCACTCTCCCCACTTCTCACCACTCTCCCCACTCTCACCCACTCTCCCCACTCTCCCCACTCTCCCCATCTCCCCACTCTCCCCACTCTCCCCACTCTCCCCACTCTCCCCAATCTCCCCACTCTCCCCACTCTCCCCACTCTCCCCACTCTCCCCACTCTCCCCACTCTCCCCACTCTCCCCACTCTCCCCACTCTCCCCACTCTCCCCACTCTCCCACTCTCCCCACTCTCCACCACTCTCCCCACTCTCCCCACTCTCCCCACTCTCCCCACTCCCCCACTCTCCCCACTCTCCTCCACTCTCCCCACTCTCCCCCACGTCTCCCACTCTCCCCACTCTCCACACGCTCCCCACTACTCTCCCCACATCTCCCCACTCTCCCCACTCTCCCCACTCTCCCCACTCTCCCCACTCTCCCCAATCTCCCCACTCTCCACTCTCCCCACTCTCCCCACTCTCCCCACTCTCACCCACTCCTCCCCACTCATCCCCACGCCTTCCCCACTCTCCCACTCTCCCCACATACTCCCCAACTCTCCCACTCTCCCACTCTCCCCACTCCTCCCCACTCCTCCCCACTCTCCCCACTCTCCCCCACTCTCCCACTCTCCCCACTCTCCCCACTTCTCCCCACTCTCCCCACGTCTCCCCACGTCTCCCCACTCTCCCCACTCCTCCCACTCTCCTCCCCACTCTCCCCACTACTCCCCAACTCTCCCCACTCTCCCCACTCTCCCCAATCTCCCACTCTCCCCACTCTCCGCCACTGCTCCCCACTCTCCCCACTCTCCCCTCCCACTCTCCCCACTCTCCCCACTCTCCCCACTCTCCCCACTCTCCCCACTCTCCCCACTCTCCCCACTCTCCCCACTCTCCCCACTCTCCCCACTCTCCCCACTCTCCCCACTCTCCCCACTCTCCCCACTCTCCCCACTCTCCCCACTCTCCCCACTCTCCCCACTCTCCCCACTCTCCCCACTCTCCCCACTCTCCCCACTCTCCCCACTCTCCCCACTCTCCCCACTCTCCCCACTCTCCCCACTCTCCCCACTCTCCCCACTCTCCCCACTCTCCCCACTCTCCCCACTCTCCCCACTCTCCCCACTCTCCCCACTCTCCCCACTCTCCCTCTCTCTCCTCCATCTCACCTTCTTCTGCTCCCTCCTATCCACGCCCGCCCTGAAGCCTCGTCCAAACAGCAACTGCGCCTCGTGGGGGTTCTGGTAGCTGGGGAAAGTACAGGTTGAGGTGAGAAGACAGGTTGAAGCAAGAGAGAAAGAGAACATGATGTTGGCTTGGCAGCTGTGCCTCGTGGGGGTTCTGGTAGCTGGGGAAAGTACAGGTTGAGGTTAGTTAGAAGACAGGTTGAAGCGAGGGAGAAAGAGAGGATGATGTTGGCCTGGCAGCTGTGCTGTGCCTCATGGGGGTTCTGGTAGCTGGAGGGAAGCACAGGTTGAGATGAGATAACGGGTTTAAGTAAGATGATGGCAGGCAAGTTACAATGATGGGTTGAAAAGCACATGAGGTCCTAAGGAGTAGAAAATGTAGGACTGCTCAAACGCTTTTATGCGGCCCAGACTCACAGGGGGTTGAGGTCGCGTGAGGTGTCCTCAGTGTTCTCTCAGTCAGGGAAGAATCAAATAGAATGATTCAGATATCTTTCAATTTCAAGGACCTTTACATCTCACTCACAGGGGGTTGAGGTCGTGCGACGTGTCCTCAGTGTTCTCCCAGTCGAAGGAGAATCGGAACTTCTCACTCGGCTTGATCACTCGCTTCTTGGGCTTGCGCAGCCCCAGGTACTGGCGGCAGTGGTGCAAAAAAGGGGGTGGGGGAGGGTGGGAGGGGGGAAAAGGGAAGAGGGAAAAGGTGAAAGATGGCCGGGAGAGAGGATGGAGAGTTGGAGGCCGGAGGGGTGAGTTGGTATGAAGCATCGACTGAGATGTTGACAGGTAGTGAGGGAGGGAGGGAAGGGGGGAGGGAAGGGGGGAGGGAGGGAGGGATAATGAGAACTGCAATAGAGGAAAGAAACGGTGAGGGTGCATTGGGTGAAGGGAGAGGAGGAATAGGAGAAGATGTTTCGCAAAATAACCATTATCTGGTCAACAATAACCATTATCTGGTCAACAATAACCATTATCTGGTCAACAATAACCATTATCTGGTAAAAAAAACAGAGAGCAGACCCACCTGCTCTCGGATCATCTCCAGCTCCCTCTCCCCGTCCTTGCCTGCTCCTCCACCCCCAATTGTTTTGGTGTGCCTCAGAAACGGACTCCTCGGAAATATGAGGCGCATCAAAGACTCACCTGCTCTCGGATCATCTCTAGCTCCCTCTCCCTGTCCGTGCCTGCTCCTTCACCCCCAACTGTTTCCAAGGCGCCTCAAAAACTGGCTCTTTGAAAACATGAGGCGCATCAAAGACTCACCTGCTCTCGGATCATCTCAAGCTCCCTCTCCCTATCTGTGCCGGCTCCTCCACCCCCAGCCCCGCCCTCCTCGCCCTTCCCCTTCTCCTTCCCCTTATCGCCCTCCCTTCCCTTGTCCCTGTCCCACTCTCGCTCCCTTCCCCTCTCCCTGTCCCTGTCTCTGTCTCTGTCTCGGTCTCGGTCCCTGTCCCTGTCTCTGTCCCTGTCCCTGTCTCTGTCCCTGTCTCTGTCCCTGTAACTCTCCCTGTCTCTGTCCCTATCCCTATCCCTGTCCCTGTCTCTGTCCCTCTCTCTATCCCTGTCCCTCTCTCGGTATCTTTCTCTATCACGGTCCCTATCACGATCCCTATCCCGATCCCAATCCCGATCCCTATCTCTATCCCTATCTCTATCCCGATCCCTATCCCTCTCCCTCTCCCTCTCCCTGTCCCTATCCCTCTCCCCATCCCTATCCCTGCCCCTCTCCCTCTCCCGTTCTCCATCCCTTTCCTTCTCTTCCCTCCCGTGATCACTCTCCCTGCCTCGTCCCCCGTCTCTCTTCCCCTCCTCCCCATCCGCATCCACAGCCTTTCCCCCCTCCTTGCCCTCTGCAGCACCATCCTCTGCATTCTCATCTGCCAGAATGCCAGGGGGACGAAAAGGGGAACGAGAAAACTTAAGACTACCGCAGCCAGACTCACAGAACCAGCGCCAGACGTGGAAAGAGGCAGCTCCTGAGGCGACTCAGAAGTCAAAAGTTGCATCCTCAAACCGAAGGAAGCCGCACCAGAGATAGAAGAGGAGGCAAGAGATAGGAATATGGGAAATGCAAGCAGAAAACGAGGCTAGTCTGAATTTCAGTTAAAAAAAAAGGATGCCGGTTGTTGGGAAGAAAGGTCCAATTCGCCTACCAGGCAGGGGAGGGAGTCCTCTGAGCGCCCGCCGTTGGTTCTCGATTCTGCAGGGGATAGGAGAAAGGAGAGGAGAGGAGGGGAGAGGAGAGGAGCGGAGAGGAGAGGAGAGGAGAGGACAAGAGAACGGACAGGACAGGACAATGAACAAGAAACACGAGTGGGGGAAGGTTGAGTGAGGCGATGACACCAGTGACCAAGAAACCACAGTAACCAGCAAGTCAGCTGACAGGTGGAAGAATGTCTTTTGAGGCGCCAAAAAAGAAACCACAGTAACCAGCAAGTCAGCTGACAGGTGGAAGAAACGAAGCAGCCACTGGGGCTTCTGTGTTGTTGAAAAATGTATGATAAGAGTGTTCCACGATTCCCCTCTCCCCTCTCCAACCCATTTCCCCCCAGCCTACTTTCTCATCTGAGCCGTTGCCTCTGCCCTGCGCCTCTGTAGCGTTAGTGCCTGCCGCTGCTCCTTGGTCAGAAACACCGGCTGGGGCAGCAGAGACCCAATGGCAGTGGAGGGGAGGGGAAGGAGGGGAGCAATGGGGGAAAGGAAGAGAGGAAGGACGAGCGAATGTGAAAGGAGGGAAGGATGAAGATAAGTGAAAGGGAAGAGGTAGGGGGAAGGAAAGGGGTGAATGGGAGGGGAAGGAAATAAAGGGTGATCACGATATCAATGTCACGAAATGACATTGGATGCAACCATGATGAAGCTAGGCAGCAGCGGCAGTACCGTGAAACAACTTCGTTTCATTCCAAACAGGGTCACGTCGCGGCAAGTAACTCATAGAAAAGGCGATACCTTGGCCTGCTGTAAGGCGTCCTCTTTCCTCTTCTTCAGCAGCTCCTCCAAGGACAAGGGCTGCACAACAGAACAGGAGAACGACATGGCAGCACGGATAGCAGAGGACAATTCTGTGATTTAACACGTCTCATAACCCTTTCCTCTTGTCCAGCCCTCTTCCAAGAACAACTGCTGCAAACAGAATAGGACAATGACATAGCGTGACAGAACAGCATGGAAAGACACATTGTAGCACACGTGAGAGGACGGACAGGATAGCTTCCGGACGAAGAAATGGGTCCAGAAGAAAGAAGCGGTACTACAGCGTGAAATTCCACTTGTACAAGAAATACAGAAACCGTTTTTTTCCGCGTGTACCCCGTACCTCCTGCTTCTTCGGAGCAGCAGCAGTAGCAACAGCAGCATCGCCGTTCTGCTTCCCACTTTCTTTCGCCTCGTCACCGTTAACTTGTCCAACCGCCTTTCCCTCCTCCGCCGCAGCTCCCCTCGCATCCTTCCGCGAATCTTCCTTGACATCATTTCCCGAATCCATAACTTCTCTATTCTCTTCCGCTGTACCATCCCTCGCAGCATCGCGTTCGCCCGTTCGAGTCTTCTCCTTTTCGCGCTCACCACTCCTGCTCCTGCTCCTACTCCTGCTGCTCTTCCGTCGCTTCTCCCGGTCGCGACTGCGGCTGCGACGCTTGCGATCCGGAGAGCGACTGCGACGGCGACGCTTGCGATCCGGAGAGCGACTGCGACTCCGCTTGCTGCGACGATCCCGTCGTTCCTTGTCGCCCGTCCTATCTTTGTCTCCCGTTTTAACCTTCTCGCCCGCCTTATCCTTGTCGCCCGCCTTATCCTTGTCGCCCGTTTTAACCTTATCGCCCGCCTTACCCTTGTCGCCCGCCTTATCCTTGTCGCCCGCCTTATCCTTGTCGCCTTTCTTATCCTTGTCGCTCGCCTTATCCTTGTCGCCCGCCTTGTCCCTGTCACGATCGCGCTTTTTATCCCGACCTCGATCTTTCTCCTTCACCTTGCCATCGTCCCTACCTCGGTCTCGGTCCCTGCTTCGGCTGCGACTCCTACTCTTGCTTCTGCGAGCCGTCCTTCCCTCCCTCTCCTCCTCATCTTTCGCCATGCCCAGTGGCGGAAAAAAATAAGAAACGGGAGAGGAGATTCGGATGAGAATCGGTCAAAAAGCAGAACTTAAAAGCGAGGAGTCGGAACGAGCAAAATTCAAACGTTCGAAGTGATATTTGCTCATTGAAGAATTTGAGCCAGTCAGCGACGCGCAGCTCTTGAAAACTACTAGTACCGGTATTTAGGAATGAAAAAGTAAGGAGAATCTCGAGAACATGAAAAACGGTAACTTCTAGGCAGGAGGGATGCTGTACCCAAGCCAGAATGCCCGCGCTATAGTTTGCCTCGGATCTTTACACTTAGTGCGGTCAATGAGGCGTTCGAAGTAAACAATCGGCACTAACCAGGACAAGAATTAAAATGTACAGAGCTGTGGATAATGTTTTTTAACACTCTAATGAGACTACAATATATACGAACTAAATGCATATGCACAATAATTACACCATAATGGATTGTCGTCGTCCTCTTGCTGTGGGGTGCTCCTTCTCATCCATATCTGGGTCGATGTCACTTGTGACTCTAAGCCTGCCAAGGATATGAAAAAAAAAGAACCACGTTAAAAAAAAAAAAAAAAAAAAAAAAAAAAAAAAAAAAAAAAAAACACACACACACACACACATAAAAGTGCGCATACAAGACCAACATAGCATCAATTAAAGCATACACACACATGCACGCACGTACCCTCACCACAATCACAGGGCTGTAACCCAACTTCACCCAACAGCAAGCTGTTTTACCCCTCCGAATACCTGCTAGAACACCCACCAGGCTGTAGCGCACAACAACACCCACCAGAACTGCAGGCTGTAGCGCACGAGTGAGTCAGCCCCGGGTCTATGCGACTCCTCCACGATTCGTTCCGCCAATGCCAGCTGGCGCCGCAGCATCACTTCCCCATCCTCTTCCTCTTCACTCCCTTCCCCGCCCCCGGGCAGCCCGTCAAAACTTTCCGCACACTTTGATACTAATCCCCGCGGGCGGCGAAGAGAGAAGTCGAGGGAATGGGCCAACCGGAACTCAGCAAGGAGTTTCAGCGAGTCGGCAACAGTAAGCACAGCGGAATGGCCTCCCCCTGCTGCCAGTGCCTGCACCTTACCCACACACCAGTCCACGTGCATGGGCATCCATGCATAGGACTCCCTCCCTGTTGCCGCCTGCCCACAGCTGTTGTAACCCCACCCCAGGACCTGATCGTCTGCCATGGCCACTAGCGTGTGATCCTGAGTGACAAGGGGCACAGGGGGGAGAAGAGGCGTGAGGGAGAGACACAGGCATGGGGAAGCGGAGGGGCATGGGGGAGAGAACGAGCATTGGAAGAGGTAGCAAGGCAGTCGTTCTGCCAACCACCCTTTCCTTCCTTGCCCCCACCCACGCCCACCCGCGCCTCAAAAGTCGTCTCATGAGTCATGAGTGAGTCAGGGTGATCCTTCAGAAACACTCTCTCACCTGCTTTTGAGGCGCCTCAAAAGTCGTCTCATGAGTCATGAGTGAGTCAGGGTGACCCTTCAGAAACACTCTCTCACCTGCTTTTGAGGCGCCTCAAAAGTCGTCTCATGAGTCATGAGTGAGTCAGGGTGACCCTTCAGAAACACTCTCTCACCTGCCCACAGGTCACAAGGCGCACTCCTTTCGGCATGAGCAGCAGCGGAAGGCGCTGTACCAGCCCTCTCACGAAGTCCAGTGACGAACATCCACCACCCCCGTGCGCCCCTGCTCCAACCCCCCGGCCAAACGCCCCTCCAAATCTGATGTTGCTGCTGCTGCTGCTGCTGCTGCTGTTGCTGGCAGTGGTATTGCCGGTGGTGAAGCCTATGTGTAGGTGATGGAAGGACGGGCAGGATGAGGCAGAGGAGGGGAACGAGGAGGAGGAGGAGGAGGAGGAGGAGGTGGGAGCAGAGGAAGCAGAACTGGGGCCTGTGCCTAGCTGCCCGTCCCTGCCAGCTCCCCAGATGTAAAGTGCACCTCTGTAATGGGGATTGTGAGCGGGGGGTTTGGTAGAGAGGGAAGAGGAAAGAAGTAAGGTGACTCGATAGGAAAGAAGTAAGAAGTGAAGAGTCTCCCATCTTAGGAGGAGGCAGAGGCGGGGCCGGTGCTCAGCTGCCTGTCCCTGCCAGCGCCCCAGATGTAATGGGATAAGGAAGGGGGGACACTAACATACACTGTGCGTGAATATACACTTCACATACCCACCTGTGGGTGAGGGCGCATGTGTGGGTGAGAGCGCATGTGTGGGTGAGAGCGCATGTGTGGGTGAGAGCGCATGTGTGGGTGAGAGCGCATGTGTGGGTGAGAGCGCATGTGTGGGTGAGAGCGCATGTGTGGGTGAGAGCGCATGTGTGGGTGAGAGCGCATGTGTGGGTGAGAGCGCATGTGTGGGTGAGAGCGCATGTGTGGGTGAGAGCGCATGTGTGGGTGAGAGCGCATGTGTGGGTGAGAGCGCATGTGTGGGTGAGAGCGCATGTGCGGGTGAGAGCGCATGTGTGGGTGAGAGCGCATGTGCGGGTGAGAGCGCATGTGTGGGTGAGAGCACATGTGTGGGTGAGAGCGCATGTGTGGGTGAGAGCGCATGTGTGGGTGAGAGCGCATGTGTGGGTGAGAGCGCATGTGTGGGTGAGAGCGCATGTGTGGGTGAGAGCGCATGTGTGGGTGAGAGCGCATGTGTGGGTGAGAGCGCATGTGTGGGTGCGGCCACAAGCCACCTGCATCACTGAAACCCCTTCAAGCGCTCCCACTCGTGTTGGGTGCGTGAGTGTGCGTGTGAGTGGTTGAGAGCACACCTGTGGTTGAGAGCACACCTGTGGTTGAGAGCACACCTGTGGGTGAGAGCACACCTGTGGTTGAGAGCACACCTGTGGGTGAGAGCACACCTGTGGTTGAGAGCACACCTGTGGGTGAGAGCGCATGAGTGGGTGCGGCCACAAGCCACCTGCGTCACCACAACCCCCTCTAGTGCCACCACCCGCCTCGGAACCACCTCACACATGCCGCCCCGAGCCTGCAGCGTTCGGTGCCCCAGCTGCCCTTGTAACCCCCCTCCCCACGTGTACCTGCATGTGCACAGAAGATGAACGGATGAAAGAGACGGCACATGGTTCCGGGTTTAAATTCCCCATTCCCTGACCTGGCCCGTACCTAGGTGCCCCAGCTGCCCCATCAACCCCCCTCCCCACGTGTACCTGCATGTGCACAGAAGACGAAGGGATGAAAGAGGGCGCACGTGGTTCCGGGTGTAATATTCCTCGATTCCCGTAACCACGCCCTTGCCTGGGTGCCTCAGCTGCTTGCTAATTGCCTGCCTCAGCAACCAGCAGGCCACGGTCATGATGTGAAGGGGAAGGTCAGGTCAGGGTCATGTTTTGAGTCGACTCAAAACTAAGCTGCCCAGTAACCAGCAGGCCACGGCCGTGATGTGAATGCCATCGGAGCAGGTCAAGGCAGGGTCGTCCAGGAAGCGCTGGAAGGAGGTCACCAGGTGCGGCAGCTGCTAGGTGACAAAAAACGTACATCTCGCCTCTTGTGTCGACAGCAGCGATGTGAAACCCTCCACACGCCACTGCCACAATGCGAATGCCATCGGGGCAGGTGAGAGGCAGGTCGTCCAGGAAGCGTTGAAAGGAGGAGATCAGGTGCGGCTTCTGTAAGCCGTCACACGCCCTGCCAATGCCCAGTTGCCCATGCTCGTTGTAGCCTGGGGGTGGGGGGATTTGGGGGGGGAGTGTTTTTAGAGAGAGGGAGGGAGGAAGGCTAGCAATTAGTCGTCCAGGAAGTGCTGAAAGAGGCCACTAGGTGCAGCCTCTGCAGCCCGTGACACGCCCTGCCGATGCCCAGCTGCCCATGCTCGTTGTAACCTGGAGGGGTGTGGTGGGGGTGACGTGGGTTGGGAGAGGTGGAGCGTGGGTAGGTTTGGGGGTGAGGGAGGAGTGGTGGTAACTCAACAGCTAGGAAGTGCTGGAAGGAGGAGACCAGGTGCGGCCTCTGCAGACATTTTGAGAATTCTAAAAAAATCCCTGCAACGTCAAGGAGTGGCGGTAACTCATCAGCCAGGAAGAGCTGGAAGGAGGAGACTAGGTGACACGCCCTGCCGATGCCAGCTGCCCATGCTCGTTGTAGCCTGGGATAGGGAGTGAGAGGGGTGGAGAAAAAGGTGTGAGCGGGGGACAAGACGCGTGTGCATTGAGAGGTTACTGCTGTTGAAAATATTGCTGCGTGGGTAGGAGGCGAGCGTTGGGTGGGTAAGAGGGCAGTACAGTACTGAGATGCTTGCTTGCTTGCTTGCTTGCTTGCTTGCTTGCTTGCTTGCTTGCTTGCTTGCTTGCTTGCTTGCTTGCTTGCTTGCTTGCATTCATCCCATATCATGCCATCCTCGCATCACCCCCCTCTGTTCTTTTCTCTTCACGCACTAGCCCATGCCTGCATGCCCCATCCATCCCATGCCATGCCATGCTTGCACCACCCCATGCTTACACCTCTCCCACTCACCCACCCCAAGTCTGCAGCAGGCCCTTCTGCATTGTTAGACACTGCAGCAGCCTGTGAGTCCTTCCGCACTGATGGGTCGTACCCTTTGCTTGCATTCATCCTTTGCTTGCATTCATCCTTTGCTTGCATTCATCCTTTGCTTACATTCATCCGTCTCATTCAATGTCAAGTCGCTTGCACCCATCCGTCTCATTCCATGTCAAGTCGCTTGCACCCATCCGTCTCATTCCATGTCAAGTCGCTTGCAGCCATCCGTCTCATTCCATGTCAAGTCGCTTGCACCCATCCGTCTCATTCCATGTCAAGTCGCTTGCACCCATCCGTCTCATTCCATGTCAAGTCGCTTGCACCCATCCGTCTCATTCCATGTCAAGTCGCTTGCACCCATCCGTCTCATTCCATGTCAAGTCGCTTGCACCCATCCGTCTCATTCCATGTCAAGTCGCTTGCACCCATCCGTCTCATTCCATGTCAAGTCGCTTGCACCCATCCGTCTCATTCCATGTCAAGTCGCTTGCACCCATCCGTCTCATTCCATGTCAAGTCGCTTGCACCCATCCGTCTCATTCCATGTCAAGTCGCTTGCACCCATCCGTCTCATTCCATGTCAAGTCGCTTGCACCCATCCGTCTCATTCCACGTCAAGTCGTTACCCACCCACCCCACGCCATGCTTGCACCTCTCCCTCCCACTCACCCCATGTCTGCAGCAGCCCAGTGTTGGACACGGCAGCAGCGTGTGAGTCGCCACAAGACACCTGAACAACCACCTGGAAGTGGTTCAGGGGGCAGGGAAGGTGAGGGGGGGAGGGGGGGGGGTGTGAGAGAATGGGAAAAAATCATTAGTAGTATTTGGACTCATGACCACCTAAGTGGCCACCTCAGGTGTCAGACTGCCTAAGTGGCCGCTAAGGGTGTGATTAAAACGAAAAGCCAGGTTGAAGTTCAGGGCTCACCGTTTTGGGAGGGAAGGCCCCTCGCATGAGACGAGGGAGGTTGGAATTCTGCAGCGTGAGGAGACAAAAGAAAAGGAAGCGAAAAGAAAGGAAATGAAAAGCTAGGACACGAATGGAGAGGAAATGCAAAGTGCATCAAGGCATTGGCTTTCATGACTGGATTGCTGATGATAAGAACAATCGCCAGTCGTGATAAGATCAGTACCCCCTTGTGATAAGAGCGTTCGCGTCCATGTGGAGACAAAGAGGTTGCATGGGCAAGTGACATCTGTCTCTCCTACCACCTGATAGTACCGCTCTGTACCAGCCAGCATGACGTTGTATCTACTAGCATTGTTTTGCACCCACCTGGTTCTGGCCCCATACCCACAGGCGCCCCTCCTCCCCCTCCTCCTGCCCACCACCCCCATGCTCCGCATTGACCTCTCCTCTCTTCCCCCTCCCCCTCCCCCGCCCGCCCCCTCTCCGCCTGGTGATGGCAGCAGTGCACTGTGCGCCACACGCCACAGCAGTCACCTCCTCCCCTGCCTCCCCCAAAGTTGCTAACCTTATTGGCTCCCTGTAGGGAAATCGTGGGACGAGGGAAAAGAAGAGGATGGAGAGGAGTGAAGACGAGGGAAACAGAGGAGGGGTTGATGCCAGCAGGGCACTGTGCGTCACACGCCACAGCAGTCACCGCTTCACCTGTAGGAGCGGAGAAAACGGGGATCCGAGTCTGTCGCATCTCAGTGCTCTGTGCTGACTCAGGTAGTAAAACAGGTCAACGGAGTCAACGGAGTCAATGCAGTCAACGCACCTGCTGCTCCGTCGCTCAGCTGCCCGTACTCATTCGACCCCCACGTAGACAGGCTCCCATCAATCCCCAGGGAGAAAGTCAAGTCCATGGAGTCAACGGAGTCAGCGTACCTGCTGCTCTGCTCTGTGCCGTCGCCCAGCTGTCCATATTCGTTCGACCCCCACGTGAACAGGCTCCCATCGATCCCCACCGCCGCGCTGTGTTCCAGCCCGCACGCCACGCTAACAAGCGCCACGGGCCGCCCGTCCCGCGCGCGGAACTTCTCCCGCGCAGTCCGCAGCGGCGCGCGCTGGCAGCGCCACGTGCGCGGATCCCCCCGCAGCCCCGCGCGGTGGCTGGTCTGCCCGCGGAGATTGAATCCCCAGAGGTAGAGCGCGCTTTCTACGGGCTGGGGGAGACCGGCGATCGCGGCGGAAGATGCGGCGGGAGGTACGGCGGGAGGTACGACGGGAGAATCGATAAAGCTGGCGTTGTCGCGAACACGACCGTCCATTGGTACGTCGAATGGAGCCTAGCTAGCCTGTGAATCAAGTTGAGCTGCACGATTTGGGCTCGAGGGGCTCGGCGGAAGCCAACGGAGAGGCGGGGTGGAAGCTGCGGAGCGAGTAGCGCGGGTAATCAGCGACGGCACGCACGTTTTACATGAAATGCGGAAGCGCAGGAAGCTGGAATGTGGCAGGCTTGCTGAGAAACCAAGTGATCGAACTCGAATGGTCACACTCCCCTTGATATTATGCACAGGAATTTTTGCACCAGGCCTCGAAAGCAACACGACCAAATCTGTCACGTTGAGGGCTTTCGGTTCGGCGCACGGCACTTTTAGAGCGGTGTAAGAGCTCCAAGTCGATTCGGCTGCATGTAAAAGATGATAACTAGTTGTGCTCTTTGAATTTGTCAGCAATAGAAAAACCTTCGTTGTAAGCTGGATGAAAGCAAGGTTGGTGTGCTAGTATAATCACTCTCAACAAGAGCACAGAAATCGTCAACATAGTGTTATGTACTTCAACAGACGATGTGTTGCGACGAATCCAGTTTGTGTTCTTCTCTGGAAAATCTCCCTGACCCACCTGCGCTTATTGCGTGTGCGCCGGAGCGGAGCACAAGCCTCCCTGAGGAAAGCTGCCACGCACTTCCACCTGAAATTCTCCGTTTTCACCATTTCCGTGTCTGACGTGTACTCCATCCGTGCTCTGCGGCGAATCGTCACCAACTCTGCGGTCCGTGACAAGAGAATGATGCTTCGACTAGGTTGCCCGTTCGACTAAAAACTCTCCAGAATATAAGTGTATTTCTTGCATCAGAACTCAGTTGGGACTCCTTACAAGGTGGGGTGGGCGAGAGCTAAAAAAACCCCCAACCTCGTCACCATCTCCGCTGGTGTTTGTAGATTTTTTTGGGGCACTGATTGCGCAACTTTCTATGATGTTGTCCGTACCCTCAACATACGCGATGTCACATGCAGGTACCCCGCCAGGTACCCCGCCAAATGCGTCCATCCCAATGTCGCAGCGCATTCTCCTAGTTTCCCAGAGCGCGTGTACCAAATTACCACAGGGAAATTTCACAGAACCTATCTGTATCGTTCTATAACGCAGTCGATTTTTGTCGGAAACGAACTGAAAAGTTTGTGTGGCCACCACATGCTCAGCTTTCAATTAGAGGATAAATACCACCGCTGCTGATTCTGGCAGGCATCTTCATTCGCCTTCTGATCAAGCAGCTGGATTCCTTTTTCTCAAATCGCTAGGAACTAATTCAGCAGCTAGGGGATTTCGCACGCTATGGGGCTCCACCGTTACCTCAGCTTGTCCATTTTTCTCCTCGTCGTCACAGCATCCATCGGTGAGTGTCATGTGAATATCTACCTCTGCTACCTGTGATCCGTATAATCCCGTGAGGGGCTTCATTTTCCATGCGTCTGATACAAGCTTAATACATGTGTCCTTACTTCCATCTTCTGCGCAGCGATCACGACGGCGCGCCCTGTGAATGACAAGAACGACAAAAATGGCGGGAAGGACGGACCACCGGATGCAGGGCCGTGCCCTCTGCCTAAGCCAAAAGACGCTGAGGCTCTCGGGGATCTGACAGGTGAGATTTCTCTGGAGAAACTCGGCAACCTTTAGGCGCTTCGTGGGCCGTGTGGCGTGTCCCTTCACCGATCCACGCGTTAAGATATCAGCACGCAAATTATTTCCTCTTCTCGCTCTCCTCTATCCTCCTGTCGTTCAATTCGAGCTCCCCTGCCCTGCTCTCCGCGCTCTCACTGTCCTCTCCGCCCTTCTCCCACACACTTCGCTCCCCTCCCCTCCACGTACGCTCCCCTCCGCGTCTCCATGCAGCGATTCTCGCCGCGCGGCTGAACGGATCCGAAGTGGTTGGGGCGACGGGCAACTTCAATGCTACCGGCCGAGCCTGCCTCGCTGTCTTCCAGTAAGCCAACCGCCGGTGGTGCGCCCCCTGATCCTATGTGCTCCTTCTCCCTTCCGCCTACCCGTTGAATAAACCGCCGGTTTCCGCTGCTCCACATCATCTTCCCGAAACCTCTCTCATCTTTCTGAGCAATACTTTCAATTCTTCCCTTCCGCTCGCTTGTGTGAACCCTGACGGAATCCATCAGGCTAGACGGCGACTACAACGTCTTCTACAGTGTCGTCGCCTCCGCCTCCGACGCCGGCGAGCCGCTCGGCGCTTCGATATCGCTCGGCGCGGCGGGAGAGGCGGGCGACGCTTCCGCCCTTTTAGTAGAGGCAGGAAAAACCGTCACGTGGACGAATCTTACCCGTCCGCCTCCTCCCCCTCCCAAGGGCAAGAAGAACAAGGGAACACCGCCCCCCCCGCCTCCTCCGAAGTACACTTATGCCACAAACGGGACGTGGCTTACAGCGAGTACAATGGCCACGATCGGCGGGCAGACTCTAAAGGTGCTGGTGGATGCGATGCTCGCGAATCCGGATGGATACTACGCGTCGTTCGCGACGACTGGTTATGACTCGGGTGCGGCGCGCGGGCAGTTTAAGTCGGACCCGCTTCCGCCGCCGCCTAAGGACAAGAAGGGCGGGAAGGACGGAGGGAAGAAGGGCGGGAAGGATGGAGGGAAGAATGGCGGCGGCAAGAATGGCGGCGATAAGTTCGGCAATCTTGTCGGTAAGCCCATAATAAAGGGAGACTTCCGCGCCCACTCTTGCCTCGCCTACTCTTGCCTCGCCTACTCTGGCCTCGCCTACTCTGGCCTCGCCTACTCTTGCCTCGCCCACTCTTGCCTCGCCCACTCTTGCCTCGCCCACTCTTGCCTCGCCCACTCTTGCCTCGCCCACTCTTGCCTCGCCCACTCTTGCCTCGCCCACTCTTGCCTCGCCCACTCTTGCCTCGCCCACTCTTGCCTCGCCCACTCTTGCCTCCCCCACTCTTGCCTACCTCTTGCCACCATCTATGCATGCTTAGGAATCAAACACCCACCGTGCCCCCTCCGGTTCTCACGGTCTCACAGCGCGTCTCACAGCGCTTCTCCGATTCATTTTCTCTGCATTTTTTCCTTGTCACAACCATTCTTTATTTTCCGTGATTCCGCCATTTCGTGCAGGCGTGCTCGCAGCGCGTGTCAATGGCTCAAATGTTGACCTCAGCGGTGACGTCAACGCCACCGGCTGCATTGACCTCGCCGTCTTTCTGTAAGCTTCTCCTTCTCTCCTCTCCTTCTCTCTTCTCCTACTCACCATCTTCCGGTTAGCTGTCCCATCATTCCCATCCGTCCCCCCAACCTTCGTTCAGTACACTTCTCCCCTCAGTTCACCTCTCTGCCCCTCTCTGCCCCTCTCTGCCCCTCCTTGCCTCCTTACTACAACATTCACTACCACGTCCGCGTGAGCCTAAAAAACCTCTTGCCCCTCCTTGCCCCTCCCTGCCCCGCCTTGCCCCTCCCTGCCCCTCCCTGCCCCTCCTTGCCTTTGCTTACCACGTACCCCCGCAGCAACGTCACAGCTACCAACTACGACTTTGCTTACCACCCGCCAAACACCCGCCCATCCCTGCCCCTCTTTGCCACCCACCCTTCCCCCCCCCGCAGCAACGCCACGACCAACGACTACGACATTTATTACCACGTCCGCGTGAGTCTGAACGACTCTGGCGAGCCCACTGGTGTCGTCATCAAGACCGGCGCTGACGTGGCACTCACCGTGCTCACCAGTGACGCCACGTGGACCAATCGCACGCTCTCAAACGCCGAGCGCGCCAAGCTGGGCGGCAAACTGACTCCCAAGGGCAGGAAGGGCAAGCAGCCGCCTCCCCCGCTTCCCCCTCCCGTCGGATACAACTACGAAACCACCGGCACTTGGCTAAGCGCCAGTACTTTGACGGCGGATAATGGGCAGACGTACAAGCAGCTGGTGGATGCCATGCTGGCTGCGCCCGGCTCTTTCTCTGCTCTCGTCTACACCAAAACGTTCGAGGCTGGAGCAGCGAGTGGTGCTTTCGAGAATGTCACCTTGGTTGATGGTGAAGGGTCTGGCAAATTGGCCATTAAATTCAGGTACGGCCAAAGCGCTGACACATACACCTACAAACCGTCTGGCAAATTGGCCGTTAAATTCAGGTACGGCCAAAGCGCTGACACATACACCTACAAACCGTCTGGCAAATTGGCCGTTAAACTCAGGTACGGCCAAAGTGCGGACACATATGCCTACAAACCATCTGGCAAATTGGCCATTAAATTCAGGTACGGCCAAAGCGCGGACACATCCAGCACCACCAAACGGGGATCCCCGTGACTGATAGGAGCAAAGAGTATTCAAGTATTTATATTGATAGTAACTTGGATATGGTGTTTATGTGGCTTTTGTACTTGTTTGATTACAGTTGCATTTGTATACTTAAACAATGCAGTAACCTTGATGCTTTATCAACGCATGTTAACAAACCAACTACACCCACAAGCAACCCCTTCCTGTTTCCACACACAAGGCCCTCCCACCAACACAAGTCCCACTGACAGTTGTTAGTAGTCTTCTATGTTCCTGTGAATGTCCAATGCCATCTTTTGACAACATCAAACATCACTAATACATTCTACCGGTAGATGTGTGCATAAGGAGTGTGAAAATCTCTCATTGGAAGCCTCACTTGCCAGAAAAGCTACGTTAACATAACGCCCAATACTATGGCTTGGTGCACAAAAGGGGTTGATAAAGTTGATAAATTGATGTTTCGTCGAACCCATATACTTCAGCGCACCCGCACCCAACTGTTACACTGCACCTGTGCAGCTGGACGAGGCAACCTTTGGCCCAAACCATGGCCAAGGCGCCAAACCAAGCTCCAACCCAAGGCCGGAAGCGACCCAATGGGTGCCTGTGCTTTGTCGCTATAAACCTGTGCCTGCTTCGTCTCCACACCTTGGCAGCCACAAGCAACCTGCTGCCAAATGTTGATATTTGTGATAGGCTGTAGTGAGGTGCTCCTTAGTGAGTACAACTCAGTTAGGGTTTGCTATTGGTATCACCCACATTCCTAATCTCATCATTCCGTTGCGTTCCTACTTTGAGATGGTATCACGAGTAGGTTAGTTCCTCGTTCCTTCCTAGCACGCGCCCTCCGCGCCCTCCGCGCCTTAGCCTCCGCGCCCTCCGTGCCCTCTCCGCGCCTTAGCGCCCTCCTCCTCCGTGCGTCAGCGCCCTCCGCGCCCCTAGCCCGTCGTCCTAGCCTGTCGCCCAGGCCCACGCCCGGGCGACAGGCTACACCTGTAGGAGCGGAGAAAACGGGGATCCGAGTCTGTCGCATCTCAGTGCTCTGTGCTGACTCAGGTAGTAAAACAGGTCAACGGAGTCAACGGAGTCAATGCAGTCAACGCACCTGCTGCTCCGTCGCTCAGCTGCCCGTACTCATTCGACCCCCACGTAGACAGGCTCCCATCAATCCCCAGGGAGAAAGTCAAGTCCATGGAGTCAACGGAGTCAGCGTACCTGCTGCTCTGCTCTGTGCCGTCGCCCAGCTGTCCATATTCGTTCGACCCCCACGTGAACAGGCTCCCATCGATCCCCACCGCCGCGCTGTGTTCCAGCCCGCACGCCACGCTAACAAGCGCCACGGGCCGCCCGTCCCGCGCGCGGAACTTCTCCCGCGCAATCCGCAGCGGCGCGCGCTGGCAGCGCCACGTGCGCGGATCCCCCCGCAGCCCCGCGCGGTGGCTGGTCTGCCCGCGGAGATTGAATCCCCAGAGGTAGAGCGCGCTTTCTACGGGCTGGGGGAGACCGGCGATCGCGGCGGAAGATGCGGCGGGAGGTACGGCGGGAGGTACGACGGGAGAATCGATAAAGCTGGCGTTGTCGCGAACACGACCGTCCATTGGTACGTCGAATGGAGCCTAGCTAGCCTGTGAATCAAGTTGAGCTGCACGATTTGGGCTCGAGGGGCTCGGCGGAAGCCAACGGAGAGGCGGGGTGGAAGCTGCGGAGCGAGTAGCGCGGGTAATCAGCGACGGCACGCACGTTTTACATGAAATGCGGAAGCGCAGGAAGCTGGAATGTGGCAGGCTTGCTGAGAAACCAAGTGATCGAACTCGAATGGTCACACTCCCCTTGATATTATGCACAGGAATTTTCGCACCAGGCCTCGAAAGCAACACGACCAAATCTGTCACGTTGAGGGCTTTCGGTTCGGCGCGCGGCACTTTTAGAGCGGTGTAAGAGCTCCAAGTCGATTCGGCTGCATGTAAAAGATGATAACTAGTTGTGCTCTTTGAATTTGTCAGCAATAGAAAAACCTTCGTTGTAAGCTGGATGAAAGCAAGGTTGGTGTGCTAGTATAATCACTCTCAACAAGAGCACAGAAATCGTCAACATAGTGTTATGTACTTCAACAGACGATGTGTTGCGACGAATCCAGTTTGTGTTCTTCTCTGGAAAATCTCCCTGACCCACCTGCGCTTATTGCGTGTGCGCCGGAGCGGAGCACAAGCCTCCCTGAGGAAAGCTGCCACGCACTTCCACCTGAAATTCTCCGTTTTCACCATTTCCGTGTCTGACGTGTACTCCATCCGTGCTCTGCGGCGAATCGTCACCAACTCTGCGGTCCGTGACAAGAGAATGATGCTTCGACTAGGTTGCCCGTTCGACTAAAAAATCTCCAGAATATAAGTGTATTTCTTGCATCAGAACTCAGTTGGGACTCCTTACAAGGTGGGGTGGGCGAGAGCTAAAAAAACCCCCAACCTCGTCACCATCTCCGCTGGTGTTTGTAGATTTTTTTGGGGCACTGATTGCGCAACTTTCTATGATGTTGTCCGTACCCTCAACATACGCGATGTCACATGCAGGTACCCCGCCAGGTACCCCGCCAAATGCGTCCATCCCAATGTCGCAGCGCATTCTCCTAGTTTCCCAGAGCGCGTGTACCAAATTACCACAGGGAAATTTCACAGAACCTATCTGTATCGTTCTATAACGCAGTCGATTTTTGTCGGAAACGAACTGAAAAGTTTGTGTGGCCACCACATGCTCAGCTTTCAATTAGAGGATAAATACCACCGCTGCTGATTCTGGCAGGCATCTTCATTCGCCTTCTGATCAAGCAGCTGGATTCCTTTTTCTCAAATCGCTAGGAACTAATTCAGCAGCTAGGGGATTTCGCACGCTATGGGGCTCCACCGTTACCTCAGCTTGTCCATTTTTCTCCTCGTCGTCACAGCATCCATCGGTGAGTGTCATGTGAATATCTACCTCTGCTACCTGTGATCCGTATAATCCCGTGAGGGGCTTCATTTTCCATGCGTCTGATACAAGCTTAATACATGTGTCCTTACTTCCATCTTCTGCGCAGCGATCACGACGGCGCGCCCTGTGAATGACAAGAACGACAAAAATGGCGGGAAGGACGGACCACCGGATGCAGGGCCGTGCCCTCTGCCTAAGCCAAAAGACGCTGAGGCTCTCGGGGATCTGACAGGTGAGATTTCTCTGGAGAAACTCGGCAACCTTTAGGCGCTTCGTGGGCCGTGTGGCGTGTCCCTTCACCGATCCACGCGTTAAGATACCAGCACGCAAATTATTTCCTCTTCTCGCTCTCCTCTATCCTCCTGTCGTTCAATTCGAGCTCCCCTGCCCTGCTCTCCGCGCTCTCACTGTCCTCTCCGCCCTTCTCCCACACACTTCGCTCCCCTCCCCTCCACGTACGCTCCCCTCCGCGTCTCCATGCAGCGATTCTCGCCGCGCGGCTGAACGGATCCGAAGTGGTTGGGGCGACGGGCAACTTCAATGCTACCGGCCGAGCCTGCCTCGCTGTCTTCCAGTAAGCCAACCGCCGGTGGTGCGCCCCCTGATCCTATGTGCTCCTTCTCCCTTCCGCCTACCCGTTGAATAAACCGCCGGTTTCCGCTGCTCCACATCATCTTCCCGAAACCTCTCTCATCTTTCTGAGCAATACTTTCAATTCTTCCCTTCCGCTCGCTTGTGTGAACCCTGACGGAATCCATCAGGCTAGACGGCGACTACAACGTCTTCTACAGTGTCGTCGCCTCCGCCTCCGACGCCGGCGAGCCGCTCGGCGCTTCGATATCGCTCGGCGCGGCGGGAGAGGCGGGCGACGCTTCCGCCCTTTTAGTAGAGGCAGGAAAAACCGTCACGTGGACGAATCTTACCCGTCCGCCTCCTCCCCCTCCCAAGGGCAAGAAGAACAAGGGAACACCGCCCCCCCCGCCTCCTCCGAAGTACACTTATGCCACAAACGGGACGTGGCTTACAGCGAGTACAATGGCCACGATCGGCGGGCAGACTCTAAAGGTGCTGGTGGATGCGATGCTCGCGAATCCGGATGGATACTACGCGTCGTTCGCGACGACTGGTTATGACTCGGGTGCGGCGCGCGGGCAGTTTAAGTCGGACCCGCTTCCGCCGCCGCCTAAGGACAAGAAGGGCGGGAAGGACGGAGGGAAGAAGGGCGGGAAGGATGGAGGGAAGAATGGCGGCGGCAAGAATGGCGGCGATAAGTTCGGCAATCTTGTCGGTAAGCCCATAATAAAGGGAGACTTCCGCGCCCACTCTTGCCTCGCCTACTCTTGCCTCGCCTACTCTGGCCTCGCCTACTCTGGCCTCGCCTACTCTTGCCTCGCCCACTCTTGCCTCGCCCACTCTTGCCTCGCCCACTCTTGCCTCGCCCACTCTTGCCTCGCCCACTCTTGCCTCGCCCACTCTTGCCTCGCCCACTCTTGCCTCGCCCACTCTTGCCTCGCCCACTCTTGCCTCGCCCACTCTTGCCTCGCCCACTCTTGCCTCGCCCACTCTTGCCTCGCCCACTCTTGCCTCGCCCACTCTTGCCTCCCCCACTCTTGCCTACCTCTTGCCACCATCTATGCATGCTTAGGAATCAAACACCCACCGTGCCCCCTCCGGTTCTCACGGTCTCACAGCGCGTCTCACAGCGCTTCTCCGATTCATTTTCTCTGCATTTTTTCCTTGTCACAACCATTCTTTATTTTCCGTGATTCCGCCATTTCGTGCAGGCGTGCTCGCAGCGCGTGTCAATGGCTCAAATGTTGACCTCAGCGGTGACGTCAACGCCACCGGCTGCATTGACCTCGCCGTCTTTCTGTAAGCTTCTCCTTCTCTCCTCTCCTTCTCTCTTCTCCTACTCACCATCTTCCGGTTAGCTGTCCCATCATTCCCATCCGTCCCCCCAACCTTCGTTCAGTACACTTCTCCCCTCAGTTCACCTCTCTGCCCCTCTCTGCCCCTCTCTGCCCCTCCTTGCCTCCTTACTACAACATTCACTACCACGT